AAGAACTTCAAGTCAGCAAACTCGGAGTCGGCAAACTTGAGGTCGGCGAACTCGAGGTCGGCGAACTTCAAGTCAGCGAACTCGAGGTCGGCAAACTTGAGGTCAGAGAACTCGGAGTCGGCGAAACATCGTGCGGGCGCCTTCGGCGATAACAGATAACAAGCCTTCGACAGTGTGCCTTCGGCGAAGGATAAAACTGGCATAACTCTTTCAACTCGTAACGGTTTGACTCAGTTAGGGTCTCGTTAGAAAGAGCTTGACGCGCTCGTTCCAACGAGCCCAAGAACTCTTGAAACAGATCAAGGATCTGTGAGTTATGGGTGTCGGAAGTGACTGTTACAAATAGGCAAAGGTGCGGAAGTGCGTCTTCGGCGGTCAACGCCTTCGGAGAACTCGGAGTCGGCGAACTCGAGGTCGGCGAACTTCAAGTCGGCAAACTCGGAGTCGGCGAACTCAAGGTCGGCAAACCGGATGCGGTTCAGAGATCTTGCGGAGTCCATATCTTTGCGATGGACGGTCGGATGGATCTGAAATTTGGTGGGACCGTTGATCTCGGTCGGCCACGCATGCCTGCACATATTCAGCCTCAGATCTCGGATGTAAAGACGCTGGCGGCTCTGTACAGTAGGCTTAGGATTTAGATTTAGGGTTAGGGTTAGATTTAGGTTGTAAGTTAGAGGGGAAGGTAGCCGCCGACTTCTCAGGTGTAGGATCTGTTGCGGCTCGCACCCTAGCGGGTAGTGTAGTGTTAGTTAGGACCTTAGAAGGTATAAAGTAGTTCAAGGCGTTTTGCCTTTTGACTCTTCCAGTTTCGGAAGTGCAGATCAGGAACTCACTTTCTTGGCGTGTTTGTGCATTTTGGTCCTGGCACCACGTAGAGAAGCTGCAGCATAGCGAAGTTACCGTATGTTGTAGTTGAAGGCCTTCGGCTGAATGTTCAGAGCTAGTACCCGGTTAGAGACTTGAGTAGTGCGGATCTGCACCTGCGGGTGATTTCTGATACTCAGAGCCGGCTGCGAGTTAGATACTTGAACAGTTCCCCCTTACTCCTTCGAGTGACATATCCTGATTGTACTCCTACGGGAAGTTTCCCCTGAATGCCAATGTGAAGTTTCATTACTTCGTGTAAACCTTGGTTTGTAATTCAGGTTGTGTGTGTGTTACTGGATCGTGTTTTCAGTAAGTTCTCAGTCGGGTCTGCACTCCCTGCGTTTTGTGTGATAGTCGAGGGTGACGTCCACGGCGTACGTAGAGGCTTCGTTCCGAAGTGAGAAGTCCAGTCCGGGTACCCCCGCTAGTTCCTGGCGGAAGGGCAGTAAAAGCCGGAGTGGGAGGCACTTCCTGCAGAACCTCTGAGTGAACTTGCGAGACACTTTCCTCCTGAAATCCGAAGCGGAGGTCCTGACCGACCTCCGAGTTGTGCTTTTTGCCAGTTTCAGGTGTGTGTGTGTGTGTGTTGAGTGACCAAGCTGTACCGTGCATCCTCCGAGCATCCTCCGAGTTGAGATCCTCCTCCGAGTCGAGCCTCCGAGTCGAGCACTGCAGTATTTCTGGGAGTGACAGTCGCCTAGAATTCAAACTCTACCAAAAGTCTGTTAAATGTGACACTTTTACTCTGTGTGTTGCCTCTGTCCCTGTGGGTTCGATCTTTTTACCACCATACTGCAGTTTTAGCCTTTGGTGGGTTATTACATAAGGAGCCGACAACTTCTTTTTGGCGCCGCTGCCGGGGACAGTGTGTCAACACCAGAGTACTTGAGCAGCAATCTCAGTTAAGTCCTCAGTCGGGCCTGCACTCCCTGCGTTTGGTGTGAGTCGAGGGTGACGTCCACGGCGTATGAAGAGGCTTCGTTCCGAAGTGGGAAGTCCAGTCCGGGTACCCTACGCTAGTTCCTGGCGGAAGGGCAGTAAAAGCCGGAGTGGGAGTCACTACCTGCAGAGCCTCTGAGTGAACTTTTGAGATGAATGCTCGGTGAATGTCGACGAGCGATGGTGTGGGGGACCTGAGTGCGAGAGCCACACGTAAGCTCCGTCGAGATTCGGAAAAAAAAAAAAAAAAAAAAAGAAGCTGTAGAAGAAAAACAGCGAACTACAAAGAAGACTCAAAGTGAGAACTCTGCAGAAAGATCGCCATCGCCGATTGCTGGGAGCCAAGGGCGTTCTAGTTCACCTACTGCGAGCATTGAGCTAACGGTTCTATTGGAAATCCCTCCGACAGGAACTCTTCCTGGGTCAGGCCAACCTAGGAGCAGTCCGTTGACAGGATCACCAATGGCAGACCCTCAAGCCAAATGTTCGCGTGGGCGCTCACAATTGAGGAGGGGGGCATGTGGTAACCCACTTTTTGTTTTTCGTCGGAATTAGAACATTTTTGATTAGTAAGTACCGTGGTAGCAGCTGTAAATAGTAATCGGTACGCAAAGCCAGAGTAAAAAGAGGATCGAGGACAGTCGAGGGGTTTTGGGCTTAGGCCACAGTGGAACGCTTGGAATGGAACGGGCGGTTCACGCTGCAGGACTCGCTTCGAGCACCTTCGGCGGTAGATCACTCATAACTTCCTAAATTCTTAACGCCTTGAGTTACTTAGGGTCTCGTTGGAAAGAGCTCAACGCGCTCGTTCTAACGAGACCAAGAACGCCTGGAACGGATGAGGACTCAGGGAGTTGTGACTGTCGGAAGATGCGAAGGAGAACGCCTACGGATAGGCGGAAGGAGTTCGTCGTTAGCAGAATATCCACCTTCGGCCCTAGATGTTCGCCTTCGGCGACGGACGTCTTCGTGTCAACTTCAAGTCGGCAAACTCGGAGTCGGCAAACTTGAGGTCGGCGAACTCGAGGTCGGAGAACTCGAGGTCGGAAAACTCGAGGTCGGAAAACTTGAGGTCGGCGAACTCGAGGTCAAAGAACTTCAAGTCAGCAAACTCGGAGTCGGCAAACTTGAGGTCGGCGAACTCGAGGTCGAAGAACTCGAGGTCGGAAAACTCGAGGTCGGAGAACTTGAGGTCGGCAAACTCGAGGTCGGCGAACTTCAAGTCAGCAAACTCGGAGTCGGCAAACTTGAGGTTGGCAAACTCGAGGTCAAAGAACTTCAAGTCAGCAAACTCGGAGTCGGCAAACTTGAGGTCGGCGAACTCGAGGTCGGCGAACTTCAAGTCAGCGAACTCGAGGTCGGCAAACTTGAGGTCAGAGAACTCGGAGTCGGCGAAACATCGTGCGGGCGCCTTCGGCGATAACAGATAACAAGCCTTCGACAGTGTGCCTTCGGCGAAGGATAAAACTGGCATAACTCTTTCAACTCGTAACGGTTTGACTCAGTTAGGGTCTCGTTAGAAAGAGCTTGACGCGCTCGTTCCAACGAGCCCAAGAACTCTTGAAACAGATCAAGGATCTGTGAGTTATGGGTGTCGGAAGTGACTGTTACAAATAGGCAAAGGTGCGGAAGTGCGTCTTCGGCGGTCAACGCCTTCGGAGAACTCGGAGTCGGCGAACTCGAGGTCGGCGAACTTCAAGTCGGCAAACTCGGAGTCGGCGAACTCAAGGTCGGCAAACCGGATGCGGTTCAGAGATCTTGCGGAGTCCATATCTTTGCGATGGACGGTCGGATGGATCTGAAATTTGGTGGGACCGTTGATCTCGGTCGGCCACGCATGCCTGCACATATTCAGCCTCAGATCTCGGATGTAAAGACGCTGGCGGCTCTGTACAGTAGGCTTAGGATTTAGATTTAGGGTTAGGGTTAGATTTAGGTTGTAAGTTAGAGGGGAAGGTAGCCGCCGACTTCTCAGGTGTAGGATCTGTTGCGGCTCGCACCCTAGCGGGTAGTGTAGTGTTAGTTAGGACCTTAGAAGGTATAAAGTAGTTCAAGGCGTTTTGCCTTTTGACTCTTCCAGTTTCGGAAGTGCAGATCAGGAACTCACTTTCTTGGCGTGTTTGTGCATTTTGGTCCTGGCACCACGTAGAGAAGCTGCAGCATAGCGAAGTTACCGTATGTTGTAGTTGAAGGCCTTCGGCTGAATGTTCAGAGCTAGTACCCGGTTAGAGACTTGAGTAGTGCGGATCTGCACCTGCGGGTGATTTCTGATACTCAGAGCCGGCTGCGAGTTAGATACTTGAACAGTTCCCCCTTACTCCTTCGAGTGACATATCCTGATTGTACTCCTACGGGAAGTTTCCCCTGAATGCCAATGTGAAGTTTCATTACTTCGTGTAAACCTTGGTTTGTAATTCAGGTTGTGTGTGTGTTACTGGATCGTGTTTTCAGTAAGTTCTCAGTCGGGTCTGCACTCCCTGCGTTTTGTGTGATAGTCGAGGGTGACGTCCACGGCGTACGTAGAGGCTTCGTTCCGAAGTGAGAAGTCCAGTCCGGGTACCCCCGCTAGTTCCTGGCGGAAGGGCAGTAAAAGCCGGAGTGGGAGGCACTTCCTGCAGAACCTCTGAGTGAACTTGCGAGACACTTTCCTCCTGAAATCCGAAGCGGAGGTCCTGACCGACCTCCGAGTTGTGCTTTTTGCCAGTTTCAGGTGTGTGTGTGTGTGTTGAGTGACCAAGCTGTACCGTGCATCCTCCGAGCATCCTCCGAGTTGAGATCCTCCTCCGAGTCGAGCCTCCGAGTCGAGCACTGCAGTATTTCTGGGAGTGACAGTCGCCTAGAATTCAAACTCTACCAAAAGTCTGTTAAATGTGACACTTTTACTCTGTGTGTTGCCTCTGTCCCTGTGGGTTCGATCTTTTTACCACCATACTGCAGTTTTAGCCTTTGGTGGGTTATTACAGTGCTTATACAATTACAAATATTAAAGAACCTACTTTTAACAATATATCCAAACTTTTATTTAACAATCAATGCACATTCATTATGAATTTCATATTTCTATTATTTTAACAAAAACATCTTTAGTATAGTGAATCATATCACGAATAATTTGATCTGAAGAATTTCAATAGGAAATATAAATATATCTCGAATACTAAACGTTGATGATGATGGGTGGTTATGTAACGGGGTTTCCATTTCCACGTGCACTCACTCCCTCACATGTCGAAATGTTCCCACAATTTCATGCGATGTGTGTTTCAAATCGGTCATTCCACGGATTTGCTGAAAAATCTGTTCCCTTTTCCGTAGCGGGGAAATCCTGACATGAGTCGGCATATGGTCCCCCGTTTGTGTTTCCAGCTGAGACTCGCAAGCCGCAGCCATCATGTCAGTTGATGCGGAGGAAGTGCAGATCGCGCCAAGATTTTCGAGGTGGATGGAAGTATCCACGACACTTGGCGAAGGAGCGCATCAGATTCACAGCACCGAATGATTGTGATGTGTTTTCTTATTATAGGTCAATTGACTACAGCAGCGGTTTGGAGTTTCGGATCCAATTCGGAAAATCTGTTCCGTCAGCGAATGGGAACAGTTCTGAGGTTGCAGTCAGGGCCGGGAGTTGTCCAAAGGTCAGAGGAGAAACAGGAATTTCAGTCGGAGTTAGTCCTGACAATTGTGCCGGGCCGTTTGTTTACTATCCAGAGGAATTGCCTGCGGGGAAACGTAGCGGAGGAGGGAGACGAAAAATGAGTATGGGATAGTTGTAACATTAAGCTTTAGAGCAACTGAAGACTGAAAAATACAAGTCGGGACATTCAATTGGAAAGGAAAATGTTTTCGAATTTTCGTCCACGACCGAAATCGTTGAATTTGGGGACGAGTGTGTCAGCTCGAGGCTTCATCCTGCTCGTTGTGAATTTATCCGAGTCTTATTCTAGCTGGTTTCCCGGTAATTTTTCTTTGTCCATTCTTCTTGTGAAACTCTTCTGCTTGAAATCGATCATCTTCTTTCTGTTTCGCATGCTTTTGTTGCTTTTTTGAAATTTGCTGTCAGTCGTTCATAGTAAAACTCATGTTTAGGCTAATTGTTAGGAATATGACTGCAATTTGGAACGTCAGGACAACCTCATCTCCTGGTGCTCTGAATTGGAGACTGTGATTTCAACCATTTGATTCAAACGGGAAAACATTAGGCCGGTAAGAATTTTGGTGCCCTTGCGAAGGGCTAGACAAGATCATGTTCTTGCAGCTTCTTCTGTACCTGATTTCTATCTGCCCGTCATGCTTTTCAATGAGATGAGATATAATTTCGGGATGACTTACGGTTTTGCGCTTTGACACAAGTTTTGAAAGGTTTCTCTGCAATTGATACGCATCATTCTCTAGAAATTTTCTGATACGTCAACTTCATTGTGCTGGTTTGTTATCGTTTAATTTGAAGATATTTAAGCTATAGTCCATGTTTTACAGAAGAACCCTATGCAACAGATCTTTCAAAGATTTATAAAGTGCTTATACGGTGGATACTCACGTATTTGAAATAAACTGCTCTGCCTTTCGCTGCAGTTATTCTCGATCTTCTAGGCGTTGGAATTATGACGGAGCAACAAAAAACCTCGAGAAACAGAAGCCATTTAAGCGCTTCAGGAGTTTAAATTTACGAGTATGTGATCAAAGCTGAAGCATGTGACAGGAACCTAAACTCGTTATCATCTGAATAAAGGTACATTCTAGAACCGTTTTGATTGAAGCTGAGATGTCAGCTTGTAGATGTGAGAATTGCTTCTAGCGATTTGATTAGGGTCTTAGTGGTACTCATTCCCAGCCAGAGTAGAATGCTTCGTTGTGTGATCTTTGGTTGCTCAGGTTGCTAAGGCAAGTGTTTGATAATTTGAGAGAGGTGGAGAAGTTCTCATCAGCAAGGTGCCATGTAGAAGGTGTCAGCTGATGGTTGATTTATGAGGATTGTAAATACATGGATCTATGTTTTAGTTTCGGGATTTTGTAGTTCAATCCAGGCAGGAAGTAATCGAGAGCAAGCAGTTCTGAGACATTGGGAACATGTTGCTGTTTCTATTAATTTCTTTTAAGTTTCACAAATGAGTCAGGTATACTTTCGTCCTCCTTTGGCTGCTAAAGAAGTTTCACTTTTTTTTGAAACTTTCCGCAAGCTGCCTTCTAATCAGAATGTTGTCACAACAATCTGACGTTTGGGAGTAACATGAGGAAGCTTATCCTCTAATACGGACAAACGAGAAGACTATTTATGACAACAGGAAAATGAAATGAGGATATGAGTTTAAGATAATTAGGGGGAGGTGTAGGGACGTGTCAAAGAGTGTATTTAGGAGGCTGCGCCTTATGGTGGAATTGTGTTTGGTATCTTAATTGGATGATAATGTTGCGTGCTTTGTTTTACGCATCTAGTTGAATACTGAATGTAGTCGGTAGGGTAAGGGTTAACTGGCTATGAACTGAAGTTTAGGTCCCTAGCAGACAGATATGATTGAGTTAAGAAATTGGATTGAAATTGTATTGGAGCTAACGATCTGAGGTTTATGTTCTAAATGCCTCACAACATCCTGCCCTCTGACGGATAAATGGTCGTTCTTTGCATGTGTCAGATGTGAAGTGCCGAGTCAAAGTGACAGTCACAATGGCAGAATTAGACTCTGTTGCTAAAATCAAGAAGTTGGTCTTCGATTCCGTTTTCAAGCGAGCCCAGGACATCGCTGCTTCCAACTCACTTCTCAATATCTCGTTTGAGGGAGATTTCTTGGAAACATGTACGGCTGATTGCAAAGGTACGTATATTAGAAAATTCGTCTGCGGGCAGTTGCACAAATAATCATCACATTGGAACGTGCATGACGGATGAATGCCAGCCGGACTCGAAAGAGAGTTCGAACGCTAGTTTGTACTGGTTTTACCGAATAAGTGAAAAATTGACGAGTTCATTACCGTGTTCAATTCAAATCAGGATCTTCAAGCTTGGACGTTTACAAGCTCAATATCCACATCATTGGAGCCAAGGTGATTGGGAAATGTTCATGTCCGGCCTCAGCGAAGGCGAAGGATGGGTTGTGCAAGCATGTTATAGCTCTACTTTTGAGGCGTAGCGATAGGCTCTTGGAGAAATCTGCCAGCTTTAGTAGAGCTCGCAAACAGGAGGACTTTATGGATGAATATCCAATTGAGCGTATTGGGAGTCCGGAGGAAGAAGAAGAAAAGGGAGAATTAGAGGCCTCACCTTCCAAGTTGAGGAAGCCGATGACTGACGAGAACGCATTAGTACCTGTCCTAACTCGCCAATCTCCGAAGCACGCCACCTCCAAACGTGCCCTGCCTGCCTGGATGCTCGGAGTAGCGGGATACGCTGCTGCAAGTGGCGAGTCTTCGAAGGCATCCAAACCAAAGAAGAGGGCTGCTGTGGAGAGGCCAGCATCCCAACCTCCCCGTCCTACGAAACGAACCAGAAGGCCCAGTCAACCGCTGAAGGTAACAAACGACCCAGATCAGGAGGAAGATCCCGGTGAAGTTGATGTAGCTGAACCTGTCGAAGACCCATTCGATGAAGATGAACCAGTTGTTGAAGATGGTGACGAAGCTGTAGAACTCTTTTCTGTGAAAACGAGAAGCGGGCGTTCTAGGAAGCCAATGCGTCCCAGGTCAAGGGATGAGATGGAGATACAGAAGCAGCATGCAGGAGAAATTGAATGTAACAAAGGAGATGAAAACGTAGGAACTCGGAAAGGGAAAGGGAAAGGTCAACCTCAACCTAGAACGAAGTCTCGCCGAGTAGTTGGGAAATTAATCGAGGTTGAAAGTGATCTTTCTGATAATGAGAAGGTCGTGTCTCCATCTTGTAATGATGAAGGGGGTGTCTTGGAGAATGTCACAGACGATGACTTGATGCTCTTAGCTCAGCAGGTATGTGATTGTCAAGAGTTTTTCAAATAATGAATCATCGCTGTGACAATGAAATATAAAGTTCGAGGTTTTGTGAAGGTTGTCGACATCTCCGCTGATGCTTAACTCAACAGTTTTCTTAAGCTGAAGCTGTTGTACAATGGCTTGAACTCTTTGTATTATGAAAAGTATGAATTCAACTTAGCTGGGCAGTGTGCCCGTGCAGTGAACAGCAATTACAGTCCGAAGGTTATAGCGAAGCAATAGACTTTGAATGATTCCTACTGTATAACTCGAAAATAAGTTGTGATCGTTGTATTTTTTCAGCACGTTGCGAATGAAAACGGTAGAATTTCACAATGTGCACCTTCAGCACCTGATGATAACGTCTCCGAGAAGCAGTTACCTGCGAAGAAAAGTTCGAGATTCTCTCTGAACAAATGGAAAGAAATTTCTTCTGAGAAATTGGACACAGGAGATTTTCGGAGCCTCACAGCGGGTAGTCTGGATCTGGAAACTTTGAAAGAATACACCCAAAATTCGAGTCAAATTTTGGCAGAGCAAAGCACTCAAGGCGCTGGTACATATTCGTCTGTTGCAGACTTCATAGCTACATCTTCTGATAGCACTTTCTAGCTGAACGTTAGAAGTCGTTCTGTTTTCATGTTTTTACACGGAAAGTTCGAGCATTTCTCATACAGAGTTGGATGGATATAGTTTCGATTCTCAGATTGAGCAGATCGATTTCCTGTTCTTCATGTGCAGGTGATGAAGACTATCCAAGCGTGCGAACCACATCTGCTGCCGAAGGGGACACTTTTACAGTTCATGAACCCATCGACCCAGCCATGTCTGTAGATAGGGATTCTGTTGCGAATGACATGCTGGGCTTGATATTCGGTTCTTCACTTAGTGCATGTGTTGTGCCAAAAAGTCCAGGTCCTCGAACGGTAGTATCATCAGACATCGGTGGCGGGCGCAGCAACAGTGGTATTGATGCTGACGGCTTTATTGCTGTAAAGGCTTCACCATCGTATAGAGAAGCCTCAGCGGGATCAGCTCCCAAGATTCTCCCTGCAGCGGTCACGAAAAACACAGAGGATCTATCTGTCGAATTCAAACCCAAGAAGAAGAGCAGTTTGAAGGACAAGATCAAAATGCTTCTGGATTGAGTGATGTCGTTGAAGCAATCGTGGTCATGCAGCCCTGCCGATTGCTAATTTTGCCTGCTTCTATCACTGGTAGTACTTTCATCCGCCCAATGAAGGTGCAGATCTGGGATCCGGAACTTTTCTTTTGTTATGGCTTGCAGTGACTGAGCAATCAAAGAAGCTTTCAGCTAGAACTGGTCGTGTACTATCGTAGCTGCAAGCACGATTAGTCCCGAAAGTGCGGCTCGCAATTTTGCCACAATTTGCAATTTCGTAATAAGGAATTGCACCAATAGCGGTAGGGTCGTCCTCTTTTTGTAGCATGGCACTCGGAGACGTGACGGTTGATCTAGCATTCCCGTGACCGATCGGCTCCACAGGGAAAGGGAGTGGTGGATAGGGTCAAAAGGACGAACTTGTTTTTTCGAGACTGATGCCTGTTTCAAAGTCTCGCACAGAATATGTGATCTTGACACGATTCCCCACTGTTGAAAGTCGACAACTCACAATCGAAGAATAGTTTCACACAATCCGAAATGCGTCATCGATTCGGGCATTTCCTGCAGTTTCGCGAGGACGATAGTGGGGCATCCTCTCACCCAAACCACCCCTGCATCCGCCTCATCTTTTTTCTTAAGCCTGTTTTGATCCCCTTCCCGAACCTCCACCATCAATCCCTTGCACCGGAAAGACTGAAGGTACCGCTCTGCGCAAGAATGTTGTGGGAATTTTGTGGGAATTTTGTGGGTCCCCGTCTGTCTCGCGTTCTCCATAGCTCACGAGATCCCAAGGCAGTCGATCTCTGACTGACAGTCCTTTTCGGTTTATGCCATAGATCCTCCCGGCCTCCTTTTGCGACCAGGCCTCCATAGGCCGCCTACTATGCAGTAACGACTTTTGACCCGACCCGAGCTCGTCCTCCATCGCTGACCAGCGAGTGAGTGGTAAATGATAGCACTCTGAGTATCAGCCATGCACTGCTCATTATTCCCTCACGCCCCCGGGTACACTCTACAGTACAGTATGACATGACTCGGTATGTCGGTTTGGGTGGGATCTCATGATTTGTTAACCGACAGAGAAGTCGGGGCCACTCAGAGGTCCTTTCCAGGGGAGCTGCGTAGCTCCGGGAGACGACTTCTTCTTCTGCTGAAGTCCTCGCGACGACAGTTGCAATCATCGGCCCTCAACTGGATAAACCCAACCTCAGCTTCGGTGTGGATTGAATTCTCGTCTGGTCTGTTCAATCAGAAACAACTGAAGTTTAGTCTCGACCACGACCGCGACCACGAACGAGCAAGAAGTTCAGCAATTGGAAGGTCTCTTTCTGCACGTAATCTCTCTCGGTCAGAGTTCCAGACCGTCTCGTCTCCCAATGTCCCAATGTTCCAATCACTATTTCGTGTCCCTAAATGTCTACGGCCGACCCTGATGTCTGTTACTGTGGTTGCTGGCATGATGGTATGAGGGAATTGGTGGATCACATCCGGATCTGAAATGACACTGACACTCGGGTCGAAGTGCATGCTTGCGTGGAAATTGCGTACAAGGCATTACGAAAGAGTCCATCCCCTTGAGTTGGACAGACTACTGAGAGGATGGCATCTTCTCTGAGTTCCCAGTACGGTGACAAGCGCGAGTGGTGAAGCTCATGCTTGCATCCACATCCAAGGATTTTGGAAAACGAATCAGTCGCAACCACACTCGGGATTTCAGTAATTCACCGAACGGTGCATGGGGCTCGACGTCCAAGGTTCTCGAAACGATGGTCGGAAAGTGGTGATCGAATGACAACTCTGGGATGTCGACTGTGAAGGGGGCGAGCGAGTTGGAGCTTACAAACATCGAGCCGAGGTCCGAGGAAGAGAAAGCTACTGATGAAACGTGAGACCGGAGGAAGTGCGTGGGGAGGTGCTCAGTGGCGTCGAGAGGTCGGGGGGCACCAAAATATAAATGTCTAAATCTGGTGCGCTTACTATTCTTACATCCGCGGAGGAGGGCCCTGTAGCCACCAGCAGCACCTCCTGCTGCTGCTGAAAGTCAAGGGCCTCCTCTAACCTTGGGTTGGGACGGATTCCAGAGTTCGTGCACGCTAACCGCACTCGGAAATGGAACTCGCACGGGACCACGTACGCTGATGCTGCCGCTGCTGCTGCTGCCTGCCGCCAGGCCATGCCATGCACAGTTTCTGAAGAGAGTCGAGGGGCACACAACAGAGTGAAAGAGGATCGAGTGACGATGCTGGAAGGCGGAGGGAGGGAATGAGGCCTGTAGATGTGTATATCGAAACAGAGGATGGGACTGTTGAGGACTTTGTCGGTTGGTGGGACATGACGAGAGAGTTGAGCACTATGTTTCAATGCCCTATGGGAGCATGACCCATGATGAGTCATAGACCAGACAACCATAGCACATTTTGCATTCATGGCTGCCTCTTCCGACTCCTCCTGCGATTGATTGATCATTCGGACTCTGTCTGTCCTCTCTCTCTTGCTCTTGCTCTTGCTCTTGCTTCCGTTCATTAGCCCAATCGCACTTTCTGTTCTGTTCTCTCTTTTGCTTCTCAGGCAAAGGGTTTCTCTCTCTCCCTCTCTATTCCTCACTTTCCTTTCATTTCCTTTCCTTTCTACTCCTCGTCTGCCTCTGCTGCTGCTGCTTCTTCTTCTTCTTCTTCTTCTTCTTCTTCTTCTTCTTCTTATTCTGCTCCTCCTCTTCTGCCCTGCCCCCACTCTGCTCTGCTCTGCTCTGCCCTGGCTCGCCTCCAATCCCACCTGTCGGTTTTGCTTTTAGATTTGGATCTCTCCTGGAGGATCGGTCCACGGAGCTTTGGTGGGAATTGGACCACGAACAATTGGACCGCGACAACCAAGGGCGAACTAGCCAATCAAGCAAGCAAGCGAGGCGAGGCGATGAGTGCTGGCTGGCTGCTGGCTGCTGCTGCTGCTGCTTCCGCCACTTCGTAGTGTATCTGGGCTCGGAATCGCCTCGTTGATACTCCCCGCTCTACAATTCTCAGACTTTGCCAACGAGTTTGGTTTTCCAAATCACTCTGCAGCTCTCTGGAATTCGGATCCAGTCCTCTGAGAATCGTTGGACTGGTTGGAAATTCTCCCTCTCCCTCCCTCAGTCTATCATTCTCTCTTCCCGGCGTTCTGCAGCCACCAGATTCTGTCGCTCATTCCCACAGACTGGGAGGCTGCAATTCAGCAATCAATCAATCAATCAATCAATCAGTCAGTCAGTCATTCAGCAGTAGTAGCAGCAGGTTGTATTAGGGCGTACAGCGTGGCTACAAATTCACACACAAGGGATCGATCCATCTGCAGCTTTGCAGCTTGGGCATTCGCATCCTCATTCTCATCCGCATCCGCATCCTGCCCCCCTTCCTTCCCTCTCCTCATGCATATTCGAATTCCGGAATTGGATCGCTGAGGAATAATCCCGTTTCACGTGGAAGCTCATTCGGCAGCAGCAGGAGGCTGTCTGCTGTCAGTCACACGACGAAAGCTGTGTCCTTTTTGCAGAGGCCCCGGGGATGCCCCGTTGACTAATGATTGCCGCAGTGCAGGGCAGGGCACAGGGCCGGGCCGTGGAAAGCAGGCAGTGCGTGATCTGATAGGAGCATAGATTCGATTCGGGTCGAGGTTGGTGGCATCGAGGGCCATCGAATTATTCCAGTCCTTTGCATTTAGTGGGGACGGGACGGGGAGGGACCGCAGGGTTGGGGTTGTGGGGGACAGCACGAGGACGAGGCAGCCGAGGACTCGCAAGGGAGGCAACAGATGTGTGCAAATGTGAGCAGTTATGATCAGAACGGTCCGGCGGTACACTATCTGCCCCCGGTGTTGCTTCCTGCGGCGCAACAGCAGCAGCAGACTGATGGGCTGTCGCGAAAGAGGCATCAAGAGCAGAGCGAAAATGGAGGGGGACTCAGCAAGAGGGCAGCCAGGACGCCCGAGATCATGTTCCGATTACTCATTCCGGCCACCAAAATCGGCAAGGTAATTGGCAAGCAGGGCAACCAGATCAAGCAGCTGCGCGAGGAGACCGGCGCTCGGATTAAGATTGCTGACCCTGTCTCTGTATGTTCTCCCTACCTCCCTCGACCCACCCACCCATCTGTCCATCAATTCATATAATTATCCGTCCATCTCTCATTCGTTCGTAATGTGCTTCTCCTCTCACTCCGATCCGGGCGAATTTCGATCGGTGATTGATGAATCTCTCAGGTTCTTCATCCTCGCCCCGTTCTCTGAGTTCCTTCATTCCTGTCGGATCCTGCCTGCGTCTCGAACTGAACTCGCTTAGTTTGCACGCATCTCAGTCGATTGATTGCTGGCTTCCTGTTTCTGCGGTTGGTGAATTGTGATCCTAATGTGCGGGGTTGCTCCGAGCATCCCGTCTGGCCCGGTCAGGCTGACCCATGAGGTTTTTCTCAGTGGTTGCAGACGATAGAAGAGCGGGTGGTACTGATTTCGTCGAGAGACGAGGCCGTCCAGTCGACATCGGCTGCGGAGGATGCTCTCATTCGCGTAGCAACTATTGTCGTGGAGGTAAATCCGTTTCTGATCCCACGCCTCTCATCGTGTCCTATCCAAACTCGCAAATTGAGCCACTTCTTGAATTCCTCAAGCCGGACAGAACTTTTCAACAAAGGTTTTAGCTTCCTAAACCCTCCCTCAGGGTTCTACGAGCACTTGCTTGCCAGACAGCCTTCGCTCCATTGCTTGAGTTTCCTTGATTCAATTACTTCAGCATTCCGAATTGAGTCCAATCAAAGTCATGCCCCCTTCGCGACGAAGACCAATAGTGAGATCAAGCGTTCTGCCAAACCTCGAACTGAAGCATGCAAGCATTTGCTATGCTGGGGCTCCAGGCTCCTCTAGATTTCCTGTAAGGGTGGGCCCGAGACGCTCCACATGGTCAGTCAGTCGGCCGTCCCAGTGGATTCTGGAGTGAGTTCAAGCATGCGCTCAATGTTCGTACGCGTGATGAGGGATTTCGATCAGCATGCGCCTGTCAGTTGCTTTTGTAATAGGACCCAAATGTTCGGTTCGACGTCATGATGAAAACTAGAGCTCAGTCAGGTCACGTGATTTTGTGTAAATTGAGCACCAAGGCCGAAATTATGGGACGTAAAGTTCACCGTGATTACTTCTCGTAACTTCAGCTTTGTGTTCAATTCGCCCCAACAGCTTCACGCTAACCTGCTTGTCTTCAATTCCACATGAAGATGGATGGGATGGTGTGTGTGCAAATGTCCTGAAAGAAGTCCTCCCTTTGCTGTTTCGGGTCCAACAGTACCTACGAAATTAGGAGAATTCCAGAATTGGCTTACATTCTCACAAATCTCCATTTCGGAAAGTCTGAAATCGAGCTGCTTTCGCCTCACTATATTGCTTGGTAGTCTTGGCCTGCATATCTTACCTTCTTGCGTCGGTATGCCTAAAAGACGTCCCGAGTTGCTTTCTCGTCTAGTAGCTCTTCTGCTCTGCTCGTTCAGGTCCCTGTCCCCTGCTTCTCAAGTTGATTTGAAGAGTTAAAGCTCTTGAACCATTGCACACAAATTCTCGTCCACGTATTTTGCTTTCGACCCGAGTGAGAGTCAGAGCAGTTGTGAATTTTGCACATTATTCTGTTTGTGGATTTTCCATCTTGTAGGCTAAACTTTTTTAAGTAAAAATCAGGTTGCTTGAATTTGTCCCACTGTGCTTCTTAGACTTTCGATCTTGATTCTCCTACTCTCTTACAGTGAATCTGCTCTCTGCAGGAGAAGACTGATGGGGGTCCTACGGCGAGCATTGGGCCTCAGCATCACATAGCACCGAATTTGACCCGACTGTTAATTGCTGGCTCTCAAGCGGGAAGTCTTATTGGCAAAGCGGGAACAACAATCAAGGATATACGAGAAAGCTCTGGTGCCAATGTCAGGATCCTGCCACCTGATCAGCTGCCTGTGTGCTCATCAGCGTTGGACAATGATCGCCTTGTTCAGGTGCAGAAAGAAAAGAGTTCATGATTTTCTGCAACTAGGAGATTGGATATGTGTAGCTCAAGGTTTGAGGCTTCTGAGACACCCACTTTACAAGTTCTTCACGTCCTGCAGATCGCCGGTGACATAGCTCAAGTACAGAAAGCATTGCAAATGATTGGTGCGAAGCTCAGGTAATTACTTGCTGGGGTTAGACAGGAGCTGGATTTCAAGTCCTGTAAAGAATAGACATTATAATCTAGGTTTATGGTTCAGCACGAGTTTATGTATGGATTGGACTTCCCAGGACGCTTTTAGTCGCCAAGCAGTGATTAAGAAAACGTTAACCTAGGAGGGCCCTGCTGGCCCTCGGAGGGCAATTCTTGGTCAAAGTTCGCCTGGTCGAGATACATTACAAATCTCAGTTTTTACGTCTTAGCATGTACAGGTTACGATGTGTCTGCGTCTGTATGAGCAAGCCAGGAAGAAGAACAGGTCTGAAGAGCTCACATGATACTCAAGCGGGCTGATTATACCTTCATGTGGATATATTTTATGGTGCAGGGAAAACCCACCGAAGGAAACTGTCTCTATAAGGGCTCCTTTCTTCCTTACATCTCACCCACAGATGCTGATCCCACAATCAGGGCTGACGACTTACCCTAGTGCCGCTAGATTTCGTGGACAAGCAGGAGGTGTGGGAGGGGCTTCCTTCGGTATGTTGGCTGGAAATGCAGGTCCTGGCGCTGCATATGGTGCATCAGTGACAGGAATCCCGAAATTGAGTACAGAAATGGCCATCCCAAGTGCACTTATGGGCGGCATTATAGGGAGAGGAGGCGGGAACATAAGCCAGATTAGGTCCATATCTGGAGCTGCTGTGAAGGTGTAGCTAGCTACCCCTCTGTATTACCATTTGAAATTCCAGATGGTTTTATGTCCTCGATTGTAAGTCTGTTACTGGTGCCTCCTCACTACTTCTTACTGAGTACAATTTCCTCGGCCTGCTTGATGTTGAGTGTTTTTGAGGGGTCAGCGCACGATCAAACTCTGATTGCGCTATTGATCTAATCTTCTACTCAATATTAAGTAAGGATGTCCTGGTGTACCACTCGAAGGTTCACAATTAGCTCAATTTTTCTCTATGCTTTTTGTCAATCAGGTAAGTGGACAGAAGGAAGGAACAACAGAGAGAACGATCTCCATCGAGGGAACTCCTGATCAGGTCCGAATTTCCAAAGATTACTAGGCGATGTTCTTTTGTGATATGTTTAGCCTTTATGGACCGTGTAGAAGATACTTCTTGCTTTCAAACGAACGATGTCTAAATCACTCTGGGATGTTGTACAAATAGGATGGGAACGCAGACATTTATGAGGGATTTGATCTACGCCTTTGTTAATGTTTTTTTTCCGTTCCCAGTCCTCAGTCAGGGCTGCAGATGTTTCCAAGCCCACTGAGGACGAAAGAGGTGACCTACAGTTGCTGACTTTTGTGGAACGCTTACCGGTCCATGTTGATGCACAGGTCTCGATAGCACAGAGCCTTGTACAGGCATTTTTGAATGCACAGTAAGAGGCTGTTGTAACCAGTTGAGCAGTGAGGCCTTTCTTCCAACAGCAGCGCACCTGGAACCTTCTGGCACAGACAGAGTGGTAGATCAAAGTAACGCAAGATGTTCTATACTGGTCGCCGACTGTAATTCCTCGACCAAGCAAAGCTCTATGATTTCAATCGTTGGCCGGTAAACCTACCACTAATCAGTTTTGGTTTGTTGAGTTTACACTGTTGACTGGAGTCTTCACTTTAATGGAGTCTTCAGTGCACACGGCACGGAGATTCTTTTGTAGGCATCAATTCCTGCCAGATCAAGGTGTACCATCAATGGAGTGTTCTCGTTCCGAACCATGCCCACCCAGACTTTCGTGTCGCATATTCTTCAGAGAAGAGTGAAGCGGTCGATCCTTAGCAACTATTGCAGCTTGATTCTAGTGTAAGAAAAAAATCCCTAAAAAAACATTTGAAACTTGTGATTAGTGGGAAAGAAGAAACTTGTGATTATCTAAACAGATGAGGTATAAGCTCCATGTGTAGTGTGTGGAGTTTCTGGGTGTTGTATCATTGCGGCTTTAGCAGAAGGTCAGATCCATTATCTGATCTATGGTTCCAACTTTAAAATAGAGTTCATAATCGCACGATGCCATTACCCGACATCGGGCGTACAAGTGTAACCGGAATGTCATCAAAAAGTGAGAGAAAAAGAGTTGTAGAGTTGTTACCATTGGCATCACCTCGGGAAGCCATTGAGTGATGGAACTGATCTTATTGGTAGACCGTGCACCTTTTTTTTCTACTCATGATTTACCATTTCAGCTTACTCAAAATTATGTAAAGCGTCATGTGTTGCTCATTTGTCGCCTTCCCTCCAATCCCCTCACTGATTTGACGATGAATTTGCTGACCTCATATGCGAAGGTATGAATCATTGATCGACCGGACCCTTTTCAACCCAATAATTCCGTAGGCAAGTCTAGGACTGGGAAGCAAAATCCATGACCTTCGCTGAAGCGATGGGGCTGGATTTGTAAGAACTGGAGTCACTGCGTACCCACTTTTCTGAGGAATCAGCCTTCCATGGAGATAGTGCTCCAGCTGGTTTACAAAGCAGCCATGCCCACGACCAGGTTCTCGGCCGATCGCAGGACTTACAGACACGAAGCAAAAAAGACAAAAGAAGTCTAGAGTTGAAGACTTGAAGGAATTCAGAGAAGGATGTAAATGGCATTGTGCTGTGATGAACAGTCGGTGCACAACTTTCAGCACCTGCCAGCGATGTGTGAAGGCAAGCACGGACCGTAAAACAGGGCGGCCTGCGGAAGTGACGGTGACGACCGTGCAATCGAGCACATGAATTAAATGGATCACAGTGGGATTTCGTCAGCTATCTTGCCCGGACTCGCGTCGACACACAGGTCATGCATGTGACCAGCTTCTACATGCTGATTCGACGACTCTAGTACATTGGAATCAAGTGCCACAGGCCATTTTCTAAGAATCTGTCTTCATCGTGGATGTAACGGAGGGTATAAAGGACGGGAGCACATTCTCAACAGGCTGGGATTCAGATCAAGCAGATCTTTGCCTCCTTTTAGTAAAGCCTAGACTTGTTTCAATCGGTCGGCAACCCCTACTCATAGATACGGCTTGTATGCTTGCCTTGATCATGATCTGATGACAGCATATCAAGTTTTCTCCACATTTTGATCCCTTTTGTTCAATCATGTGGTGTCCAAGAGCACGAACTATGACAGCACTACAATACTTTCTCGCATCCTACAAGAGGCCGTAAAGCTCAGCGACTGGATCGACATGCCATGAGCGAGACATGAGGTTTTCATTAGAAATGAGAACCATCCCTCGGCCTTCGCTCGGGACCAAACCAAAAGCGTAAAAGGATGTGCACTTCCGATTGCTGACTCCATGCTTCCCAGTGTTCAGCAGGATACGTTTCACTGTCCCCGAGAAGACCAAGATCTCATGCACACAAAGCTCTCCTGGTCAGAAAGAGGTGAGGTTGAAATCTTGCGGAATGGAGGTACACTCGTCCTCCTCGGAGACAACTTTGTTGAGTCGACAAAAGGCACGTAGAAGCAGTGCCATCCATCCGCTGACAGGTCATGTTGTCAAAGACAACGAGCTGCTTCGTTCTGCCCTCGCCGACAAGGCAGAGATCGCGGCTGTAATCTTCTCAGGTGGATAAGAACCACACAATGATGCATCTCGAGCAGCAGGCTTCGAGGCCCACTTATCTATCCTCACTGTAAACTCTGTTCACTCCATGTCAGTCTGTGCACACGAATTGACACTACGACTCGTCACGCCAGGAATTCGATTCAGACGTTTAAACCCTTTTTAGAGAATGTGGGTTTATCATGAACATGAGGCTTCAACTCTTTTTAGAGAACGAGGGTTTATGAATATGAGGCATTCAAGTCGTAACGAGACCTAACCTAAAACATAATAGCAATAGTCGCCCGAGGACAAATATAATTTGGAGAGAGCAAGTAATATAGCGAAAAATACAGATGAATATGGCTGGCTACTCCCCATTGATATCAAAAAGGATGGCTCTTCCCATAACCTGTACAACTATGAATATTTTTTATCGATATTATATTGATAGCTGTACATGTATTTTATTGTAATACATCATATTAATAACTGAATAAGTTATTAAAAAATTCAAAGGTTAATAATCTCATTGATTATCAATATTAAAATATCCAAGTTACTAGCAAAAGGATGGTTATTCCCGTCAAGCTCAAATTCCCATCAGCAAGATGCGCATATATTCTATAAAACCCGCAATTCCCCCACTTTAAACCATATGTACAATAATGTATAGCGTTAAACCTAATATTGTCATTCAGCAAATATATTAAAGCTAAAAGTCTTTTGAGTTCTGCGCCCACAGAAGTCAAGCAAAACAGTCCATATTGCATTTTCGCTCAAGTTCGACAGGTCCCGTTATAAAGTGAAAAGTTGGACAGGAATGGAACACCCAAAGAGCAGACCTGGGTCCTACAATGTAAGATTTACAAGCATAATGTTGTCTTAAATAATGATGGTAGTTAAGACAAGGTTATAAGGTGAACAATGGCGTTGGTGAAAGACGATGAGATTGGGAAGGGAAGTCGAGGAATGTGGGAAAGCATGTCTTTACCTTGAATGTAAATGTACACAAAGAAAGATTGAGTGTAGAATAAAGATGTCGAGAAAATCAGTCAGCCAAAAAAACTGTACTACATCGTATGTGCTCTATCTCTATCAACCATTATTAATATCTGAAACATCTTTGGAGTGCTGATAAAAAAAAAATTTCATTTAGGCTATTGTATTCCACTTTTTGTGCCACAGGCATTCATTCCTTATTTATATCGTCATGATGCCATCACCATCTGTTATATTTCAAATTTTCTAAACTTGATTTGAATACGTAATGTTTAGAAATAGTGAGAAGATGTTAGATGGATTCACAAGCAAAACTATTAAAAAATTATATCCAACGCCACATGCAAGTACCTTATTAGAGGTGAGTGGAGGAAGACCGATTAGATAAATTCATATAAAAGTATTCATGTAACAAAATCCTCTGAACCTACTATCACTCAAAGATTGCAATGTATGTTAATGTCATACATCTTATTGGAAGTTGGAGGCGAAGACTTAACCTGACTTAAGGATACCATGATTTACATTTTGACATCTTGATTCAATTAATCAAAATTGGAATAAACAGTGAACAAAAAACCAAAGCAATGGCAAAAAGAAGTCTATATTGAAATATCACATATGTCTAAAGAATCTCATGAGACTTAAAACGATGACTCATTCTTTTGAAAAAAAAATGAGGTTTGAAGAGGTAAAATTTAGACAAAGGTTCCCAAGACAATGCATTTGAAGAACACGCTGGAGAACTGTGTTCTCTCAATACACTGGCCTTAAATAAATCCCCCCCCCCCCCCCCCCCCCCCCCCTTCCCCTTGACCTTCTGGTTTTAAGGCTTGCGACGAGTGCTAGAGGCTCCGCATGACGGTTCACACGAGAAACAACAAGCAGAAGAACCAGTGACTTATTCAGAAATCTCCGTCGTCGGCATTACCATTCTCTGGAAACTTCATCCAAAAAGTGTCGTGTCCTTGCATAGCATGCCAACTGCAGATTCGATGATTTATGGATAGAAGGTACTAATCCTGAAGCAAGTGAATCATCGGAGCAGCTCCCTCACAAGCGCTGGAAATAATCCTCCAGTTGACACTTGTTCTCTCTAGGTATAGCCCATGCAAGGGCTCAAAAGGATGACGGTACTTTTGAGCCCAACTTCCCCCTCTTCATTTTTTAATTTGCTTTGCTTGTCCCACATTCTATTTTCTTCCCAATTTTAACTTCAAATACCTAAACATAGATATAAAATTGAATGGTTTTCATATTTTTTACTTTCCTTCGTCTAGTCATTGAGTCTAATGGTACGATGGTTTAATTTTGATAGAAAAAAACGTACTTATTGACGGGTGGATATATTGAATATGAAGAGCATATATATATTGTTACATGTACTAGGTATAAAATGATTACATTAGCTCATAACATGATATGGGGAATTTTTATTACATTTGGTATTTTTTTTATTTATGTTGTTATGTTAAGGTCATCATTGTTTTAGTGCTCTTGGCATTAGCTATGGAGTTCTGTTTAGGGTCTTTTGCCTTGTTTAAGGTTTTTTCTTGCACTGTGATTTTCAACCTTTTTGACACTTTGGGTCCCACGGACTTGATCCATTGTAGGAGAGAATTGTCTTCCTACGTTGATGTTCATTGCTTTCTCACGTCAATGCCGTCAAGATTGGAACTTGCTTGTTTGTTAGCTGGAAAGATGCCAGATATGGAATCGAGGATATGAATATGAATAACAAAAAATCAGGATGGATAGTAACATGTATTTCATCATCAGCTCGAATCTAGAATCGAGGCTTTGAAGTGGTTCCACGTTTGTCCAGTCACTTTCCACCTTCAGGCACAAGTGCGATGCCTCAGATTTTGATGCCTCAGATTTTGACGAGTGCATCCCAATCAGGCGATCTCAGGTGGAGAAATGCATCGCAATCACGGCGTCTGGCGGGTTCATAAACTGTCCTGCCCTGGCTCCAATTCTTCAATTTCTGAGAAAGATAGATTCATGAGAAGAAAGGCCAAGATTCGGTTTCTTTGTGGTTCCGAGTGTGATCTGACGGAAACATGACGGAAACGAAGGTCATTTTCCAAATGATAAATACGGGGAACGTGCTTCACGAATCGCCCACGGTGACCTTCTGAGGGAGAATGGGAGCAAGGGTCAACAATTAATAGTTATTAACTCTGACCTTCAAGCTCGTCCCACTTCTCACCGTTGCTTTCCTCATCCCTCCACGGTTCCGAGCGAGCATTTGAGGTTGACCAACTTCGTCATCCTTGCAGCAGGTTAGTCTGAATTTTCTTCCCAGCAGCGCTCGTTGATACGCTGTTGAGATTTTTCGAAGACCTGAGCTTTTCATGTGTTAGAATTGCAATGTTTCGTCCCTGAGTGTAATGTCGATAGGTCCAGTGTAGGTCGTAGGGGATCTTCTTTCTGCACCTGCATACCATGTTACAATCCCACACGCTAGGCCAGCATGCTTGGAAACACCGAAAGTACAGTAATGAAATGGATGCTCGTACAACCATACATTTAGTATCATGTTAGAAGTTCGATTCGTGCATGATTTTTGAAATGCATGATGAGTGAGAATGATTTCTTTTTTGTGTTTGCTTCTTGCAGTTGCACAAACTCCTCAAACCATTTAACATGTTTTTCACCTGCTTGAGATTGTCAGAAAGTAGGAATTATTTTCAACAGACAGCTTGACGTCCATAGACTTCGTTGAACCCTAAACCCGGTTGTATGTTCAAAGTCATGGAATTGTTCACATACCCTCATTGAACTGGTCGATACTGAAGTGGAATTGTCATGAGCAGGGCTACGACCCGTCTTTTCAAATTTCTGCTTTTTGGCAGAAAGGACAGGGAGAATTTTTTCCTCTGTGAGTGTTCCTGTTCCAGTGAATCCACCGTGCAAGGGCCAAGTCTCACCTTCATGTCTTTAAAAGCACTTTTATTTATATTATATTACATTATTAATAATTTTCGTGCCTGGAGCTTTCCACTTCATCAATACGGATCTATTACATGCTTTGGCGCTCTCCGGCACCCCATAAGTGACCCATTCTCCGAGTCCACGATTGTCAGGTTCAGTGCGCTAGTCCAGCACGAGGATTCAATCATTACCTTCTAAAATAGTTCTGAACTCTTGTTCAGCAAAGAGAATGGGAAGAAGATATTACCTTCCGGACCGTAGATTAATCCGCTCCACAGGATCACAATACAAACCGTATGTGGTCAAATTTTTGTCAACTCTAACGAGGGAGAATCTCCATGCCTCACGGTACGGTTGTCTCTTCTTCTTTATCGAGTGCTGAAGATTCCAGTTTCCCCGAAAGTGACTCTCACCAGTGAATTGCACACATGTCTTACAATCTGTGTAACACATGAGTTCTACAATCTCTAGTGAAAGAAACTTTTGCATTCCGCGTCGATCAGATGGTTCATATCTACACATGATGGCCTGATAAAATTGTTTGCTATTCCTGCTCAAATTGAGTGTCAGTGAACTCCAGGTTCTGAGCTAAAATTAATGTGAAATCTTCTATTTGGAACTGCATTCTTGGAACCCAAAGACTCGCTGTTGGCCCTGGAGCACATGTTGATGATGGCGAAGGAATTTCCTCCTGGGTTGCTTATCAAAGGATGCTATGAGGAAATCCAATTCATACTTGTTTGCTCTTAAGGTGTTGTTAGATCGTGACACATTGTAGAAAAACCATATGCATTACTTTAGCGATCCAATTTATAGGCAGTGTTTCAAGATTCCATAGCATAAAGACAAAAATACTGGCTTATAAATGAAATACTCTTCTCCTTCATAAAAGATAAAATATCTGAAAATGTAACAGTTAGACGAAGACCTATATGGATCAATTACATTAATTTGTGTCAGGTAAAAAAACTTACATGATACATGAAAAGCTTCCTATACATTGTATTATGAACTAAAGTATGTCATAGACAAAGATGTAATATATTTTCTTAGGTAAAAAATTTAAACATATCCATGTGTGCTTTAGTGTTATAATAAGTCTTACTTTACATATATTTAGACTGAACATACATATTTTCCAATTTGATTATGTCTTAAAATTTTCTTTTATTTTTATTTCATCTATAATACATAATCTGAAAATTTTACATTTTGAACTCAATTAAGAATTTTTATATATTTTCTTAAGAAAATGGTAAATTATTCCTTTGAAATTTCATTTATTCCATATCTGTAATTCAGATGATCTAGCTTAAACATATTTAGTATCCACAAAAAAAAAATTCTTGAATCAAATTTACTCTCAAAAAAATCAGTTGATATTACTTCTTCATGTTCAAATTTACTCAAAACATAAACTGATCTTTATTTATAATATTGTAATTTAGCTCAACGTATGATCTTATTTCAATTTATTTAAACTTCTACAATCAACCTACTACTTAGTTATAGAGTCTTATTTAAACCTATATTGATGCAAAATTAGATCAGTCTCTAAATTGAATAAATAATTTTCTAACATATGTATAACTTAATTTTAACCATTTCGAGGTGTTAGCTAAAAGTAACACATTGAGTTACTTCAACCTATTATTGAGTTAACTGAAAGTAACAACAACATTGCTTCTTTACATATAACGCACAACATACATTTAAATCTCAACATTATTTTAGTTTGTTCAAATTTGTTGAATAGAAGATACTGAGCAGTTTTAAAACTTTTCTTTACAACTTTTTGTATTGAAAGTAAATTCATGTATCTGATTTTACTTATTTGGATCCATCGAATTTATTTAAATTTCTTTTGAAATGTTGAGATTATTAATTATTTCCAAATTACATACAAATACTCAAAATTTCAATTGTATTTACAAATATATTTTCAATATTTTCTAAATCCAAAGAAAACAGTAAATAATGAGACTTTTTTAAACATCAATCGATTTAGTTGAAAATACATATTTCTAGAATTTATGAGACATATATAGTGATTTGATCTATTTTCAAAAACTTCAAAAAGTTGTAAATGTAAAAAAGATCAGAAACGAATTATCTTGTGATTCAAGAAAAATAGTACGTAAAATTGATCAGAAAAAATAATAATTATGAATAGTTTTATAAATTTTGCCAGAAAATATTTTTTTCAAGCATTTATATTAAAATGATTCAAATAGATTTTGGATAAATCATCCTAATAAAATATATTAGTCCATGAAATATATCAAAAATATTGATGGATTGATTTTGATAAGGAAGAACAATATAAATAAATTTTTTTAATAAAGTTTCAAATTTATTGCATTATATTCTATTCAAAGGAAAAGGCTTCAGTATAATTTATACTAAATATCAATTATATACCTTAATTTCACCGAGATATGGAAAGCAAAATTATTCATATGTTGATCTTTCAATTTGAAAGGGCTTCAGCTACTCAAATGATAAAAAATTCTTTTTCTTGATTTTTTAGTTACAGAAAGTAAATGCTATTTTGAACTTCAATTGAATGTAGGCTAGAACGTTACATTCACCAAAAAAAATTTACCTACCTAAGAATGTTGTAAAAGTATTAGTAGAAGGATAAGGGTTCAAATTTGTCAATATAAACCTAGTTGTATGTTCATTTTTTGGAATTTTTTTTTCAAAATACAGGTAAATGCAATATTATGCCCAAACTATGATAGTTGTGCTTTTACTAGATTTCAAATATGAAAATGATTTTTTAAAAACATTTGAAATAGACAATGGACGTTATTTAGATGAATTTTGTAACTTTATGTGATTTGAAGAACATTATCTCCGGTAATTATGAGTATTTCATAAAAAACGTCAAGGTATATGTTTTTAATAGATGTTATTATGAAAAATATAATATGATCAATTCTTATGTCATAATTCATATTCTGAATTTTTTATAATTATAATTATATATAATTATAAAATAAAAAATACATTTCATTATAAGAATATAAGATATATTATAAATATATAAGATAAATTATCGCAATAAAATCATGATAAAGATGGTAATTTATTCAAAAAAATTGTATCGTATAGTACAACACAAGTCAATAGAAACCTTGATTTAGAATAAGCTAAAGAGTTAAATATTATAAGTTATATTGTATTCAACCTCAACATTGCATAAATTATATCTTTAATTCAAAAACTAAAAAACGCCTTCTTATAGAGATTCAATGATAGAGTCCATTTATTTTGATTTTATAAATAAAATAAATCTATCTGATTTCAATAAAAATTTGCAATTTTGAAACAAAAGCATTGTCATTTTGAATTTTTGATCTATGATTCTTGATATAAAAAAATTAATCACGTTGATTAAATGTAATTTTTTTCAAAAAATGCGATTTCAAACGATTTTAGAGTAAAAATAATAATTTAAAACCATGCATGCAATTAAACTGACACCAAAATGAGATTGAGCTCATTGAGAGTACTTATAGTTTTACATAGGTGTTTATATGATACACATATCTTTTAACTAACTTTCATATACTCTCTTATAGAACATTGTAGGGCAAAATTTATTAATTCAAGTTATATAGATTGGACCTACATTTTTTCACAAAATTTTCAAAATTAATATAAGGAAAATTTTTTCTCTAGGAAGAATGACATATAGCTATTGAATTAGTTTTTACATAGGCACAGTGCAGTGTACCTAAAAATAATATATTGTCTTCAAATCAAAAAATTAAAGTTGTCATCATTTGATATATTGAAAAAAATCATGAATAATGTTCAAAAATATTTATTAAATAAATATTCAACAATAGATATTCAAAGATAATAATTTCATTTTTTTAATATATCAAAATTTTTCAATTTTTATTTTAACTCAAAAAATGACCAATTTTAATATGTAAGTATGTATTTCAATGTATGTATATATAATATTATTTTTAATATGAAATATTAATAATTTATGTATCATATAATATTACAATATGATATGAAATAGTATAAATATGTTTAGAATTTGTTAAAATAATATAATAATATATTAGAACATTTTACATGATAAATAGAAATTTTATTTTTTCAAAGAGCATTTGACAAATCATTTGTGAATCTTTCATGTTTAAAGAAAAATGTATACTAGTCCAAATCTTTATTTTTGACTTAACAATATATACAAAAATTATCATAATTTAGAATGTTATATATTTCAATAAACAGATCACATTGCAACATAATAAATGTAATCTTGGGGTTTTTTATTGCTTCAACTTGAAACACTGAATTGTTATTGTTTTTCCATGAAAATTTAATTTTTATTAAATCTTCATCAAAATGTTAAGCTCTCATTGATATCAAACTTTTTGCAATTTTGGCACTTGGATAAGACTTGGTTCAAATAATTATATAAATATTTTATAATATTGATATATTACATATATAACTTGCTTGTTAATACTTAATATGAATAAAATATTAAAACCCTTACATATTGTATCAAGTTTTCTTAAGAAGTTTTGAATTTTGATTGCTTTGAAGATTTATCAAAGAATTCAAAAAAATTTATGTAGTAAAATATGTATAGTTTTAGTAACATTATTATATATATTCATCTGTTATGATAATTTTATCTTTTTGCGTCTGTTATATTTTTTATTTTACTTTTTTTGTATTATACAATCCAACATATGTTTTCTTGAATGATTATTAAATACATATAATTAATTAAAATTTATTTTATCATGATTTCAATAAAAACTCAAATTCAACAACATGCCTGGTTATCATGAAATTCGCAATACATGTCACATTATCTTAATCTATCGATGTTCAAACAAGTGTAACAGTATTATGTGTAAGATGTTCAGCTCTTTATGAGTCTCGACATATATCAATTATCTCATTTTTTGATAATATAGATGTAAATATTTTTTTCATAACCGGTTGAAATTTTAATAAAAAACATCTCATTTTTTTCATCCTAAAATATGTGATTTTCATGAACCTTACTGCGATATGTCATATATTTTGATTTAATATTTTATATCAGCATATGGATAAAATGATGTACCTCAGCGTAATAGTTTATGTTATTTTACCTATCTTGTTTACAAATTTTGTTTGTGCTTTAAATTCAAAAGTTAATTATGGATGAAGATTCCGTTGAAATCTCATTTGAATATATATTAATTCATCATCATAGTCACTTTTTTTTTCAAGTTAATTTTTAAAAATTACATGAATAAATTTAAACCTTTTTCTTATAGAAATTGTAATACATGAAATATGAGATTCATATTTTTTCAAAATTTTTGGGTTATGATCACATGAAGATTTTGTTCTATATTTGGAATTCAATATGATATGAATACTAATCACGGGGATTGTTCTAGGTATATATGACAAACGTTGTGCAAGTAAATTATAAACATCTTAAATTTCTTCAATAAATTTAAAGGTTCTGAATCCTTTTGTGGTTGCTTCGAAGGTTCCATATCTGTGAAGTACCTTGAACTATAATTGTGGCTGTTATGTGCATGTTGGCAAATGCTAGTAATTGGACAATTATTTCAAAAAAATATTGGCATATTTGGATGCAACAAAATCATCTTATTATTTGTTCACAGGGTTTGAAAAACGATGTAAGTTATGTTCCATGATATATTACATTCCAATTGCTATATTAGATGAAAAGCGGTGATGAGAATGCAAGGTTTTACATCAAAAGCTTGTCGTTTCTGAGGTTTTTTCATGTGAAATGGAGTACACAATACATAGTTATAATAGTTACCTTACCAATAGTTATTCTTAAAAAAATTCCACACCCTTCCACTCTTTATTTACACTGTTTTGCCACAAAAGTTGAGTGGAAACATCTAAAACCGAGAAGGCATCTGAGAGCAAAAGAAAAAATGCTGCACGAGAAGTCCGAAGCCTCTGCTCATGCAATGTTCATGCAGAGAAATGCAGCACTACTACACATTATCCCTATGTTAGTTAATTAACATTAACTAACATTATGAGCCCGAATATGCGTCGGTGGGACACAGACACATGGACATCCAAAAACGCCAAAACCTTGCACAAGCGCCACGACTGTGCGCAGCCTAAATAGCAGGCACTATTCCACCCGCATACATCATCGCTTTAATCTCCATAAACAGGAATCTGAATATTTAGCAAGCAAGTAGATATCGCTCAGAGGAGCTCACATGTTCCTTGTATCCACTCCCAATTCAATTTGGACCCCATGGATCAAGTCTTGAGGGAATTCTTCGGTCCAAGTCCAGAACCAGGTCCCGGAGCTACAAAGATAGGGAAATCCTACGGACCAAGTAGTTGACCTTTTTATCTTTCTAAGCTTCCTCAGTGAAAGATGATCTTCCACCGAAGATGCAGGACAGCGAATCTGAATGATAAATCAGGAAGCAGCAAAACTCCGAATGGAAGTCAAAGACCGGTCAGGAAAGGACAGGACCGGAGGCAACAAGCGTAGAATAGGAAGTCCATTGTTTGTATCGACTATTGTTATCTCGGTTAACGTCGGGGTTAATTGGTAATGATCATGGTAACATCAGGTAATAAAAAGAAACAAAACTGGTTGAGAAATTTAGCCCAAAGCATGACAAGGTCACGTCTAGGACTATAAGTGCTCTTATAGGGATACAATGTACAAGCTACGCGTGGCAACATGGGTCTAAACTCCAATACATCAAATACGTTATATACGATTAAGATACTCATATGATATATCTCAAATGGTTGTTCTACATGAGCAAGAAACACGATCTATGATTTTTTTAAATTTATTGAAATTAAATATTTGCTGCTCATCCATTTTTTTTAATTTTTTTGTATGATTACTTTAAATTCCAAAGACAAAGCTTCAAATAATTCCAGGTTTAAATAACAAAAAATAATCTTTTCAAATATCCGTATGTTTTGAAACCTTGTTTATAGAGGGTTTGAAAATGTATAGGATGGTATGTAACCACCATGTTTTTAAAAAACTTTGATATGATATGAGTTTATATTTACTCTCATCCCCATTAAAATAAATGCAAAATAAATGAACTCTCAATCCACATGGGTTATCGATCATTGCAAATTCCACATACTTCATGTACTCATGGATAGTTAATATATGACTTTTGAAAACTCAGTTAGTCACATGTATAAGAGTTGCATCTAAATTATTTTTTTCAAATAAAAAATAAGATAAAATTGTTAGTCACATGTATAAGAGTTGTATCTAATTTTTTTAAAAATAAATATATAGCAAGATAATAATATTATTGATTTCCGGACTAAACTGAAGAAAAAAGCTGCGTTAATCCAAACATGCATGATTGTTGGGAGACCGTGGTAACACCAGATAAGAAAAAGCTACAAATATATGACATACAGAATATTGTTGTATGTTGCCTTATCGTACTATGATGCAATACCTATCCCCAAAGGACGCGGTGAGGGAGAACTGGATTAGGGATAGAGGAAACCCGACCTCAAGTCAGGTCAGGTGAGTCGACCCGGGGTTCCTCTCTGAGAAGGACAGATAGCCTCCCACGTGGACAATTTCTTCTGAGCCTACTACTAGTGAGGCCGAAGAAGAATCTGACCTAAGCCAGGGCCTACTTCGGGGCTCGCAACATCATCTTCGCCTTCGCCGCTCTGCGGACAGTAATCAATTCTTGTCTCGTGATTGGACGCACTAATTTATGTTCATTTGCTTCTCGTAAACCGGAATTATCGTCCCAGCAGCACCAAGTGTTCACTTTGCGTTTGCTTGTGGAGGAAGCCACCGAATTTGCACATATCGCATCATTTGCTTGGCGACTACGATAAGCAGGGGGGGGGGGGGGGGGGGGGGGGGGGGGTGGTGGCTTGATGCTGAAGGTGAAGGTGCGGCTGCTCATGATCTGCGGGGTACTATGTGAAATTCAATGACATCAAAATGTGTCGGACTCGCTTTGGTGTGAGAAGGGGGTCATCGAAGCGGGGATTTGCAACGAGTGAGGTGTGGAGGATTCTGAAGGAAAGTCGCAGAAAGAGAGGATGTCGTGGTCGATTGCACTCGATGCACGTAATCAATCAGTCTACTCGAGAAGCGGGAGTAAATACCTACCGTGTTCATGAATAAGGGAATGTACATAGTCGTGTCCTTATGAAGTGAGTCGCAGATTCAGAAGAGTCATCATATTTCCCATTCTCTCGGTGTTGGATCTTTTCTCTTCAGTTTGTATGGCATTCGAGGGTAGGGGTTTATAAGCGTCGTGAGAGCAAATAGGAAGTAGCAAGGTCAAGTCCACTGCAAAGACGATGATGATATTCTGCTCGCAGCACGGCGATGAGTCAATGGGCAGTGTCGAGTTTCAAACCCTTTAGTTGTGCCCTCTCTTCTTCGTGTCGTTCAAGGCTTTTTAGGCTTTTGATGTACTTTTGCAGACCAGACCTTACAGCGTCAAGTCATGGACGTCATGTCATGCTTGAAGGGCGCAAACCTTCTTTTTCACAGATCTTACAGCTTCAAGTCATAGACGTCAGGCATGTCATGCTGAAAGGTTGCAAGCCTTGGGAGCAGATTTGGTAAAACTATACTAAAAATCTGATCGCCTTCCTTTCTCCTTTCGCTGGCCCATGTCTCTCTCTTGCTAGTGTGCACACGAGCACGGAAAATAGACATGGCTGAACACGTTTTCGACGAATTTTAAAGAAAAATGGGTGAATACGATAGGGGCTGGAGACACGCCTCACCATGTGTAGTGTGGAAAATAAATTTGGTGTGGTCCACACCGAGCTAGGGGTGGAAGAAAAGTAGGGTCTCGAAAATAGTTTCCGGTTTCTCGTCCGTACCATATAGAAAGCTAGATTACTCATCCCTCCAGAAAGCTAGATTACTCATCCCTCCAGAATGTACCGATACTGATAAGTCGAAATGAGCCGAAAATGTGGTCTTTTTGCGGTGGATAGACGTGGAATCAGAGTGTATATAAAAAAGAGCAAGCAGGAGAGGACGCCAAATTAAAATGGAACCCTACTGTATCCAGAAACTGAGTATGGTCCTGCAAACCGTGTAACGTGTACATGCTCGCCAGGACGATGCTAGAAACGGCAAGGCGAGATCAGTACAGCCCAAATCGAGCGCTAGAATTCAGTCAGTGGAGGAGGAGTGCGCCGCGCGTGGATAAGAAAGAAGAAGGGGTCGCGCGGATGGATGCGACGCCTCGCCACCCGGTCACGCGCGCGGTTCCCTCACACACGCAAGCCCGTCTCCTCTTGCCTTGCCTTGCCTTCCTTTCCGTCCTGCCTGCCGTTCCGGAACACGGGCCCGTCCCCCGCCGAAGTACGCCTGGGCGTGCTTCGGACACAAGCGGCCCTTGCTTACAGGTTCCGCTCCTCGTCGTCGTCCTTCCAGGCACTTGGTTAGCGAGCCACCGAGAGACGAGGAGGCGAGACAATCGGAGCGAGAGCAGAGCATGGCAGGGGAGGGGAAGGGAAGGGAAGGGAGCCAAGGGAAGGGAAGGGACGGGAGGGGAGGGGAGGGACGGGACAGGACAGGACGGGACGGGAGGCGAGCGGTGGAGCGGACCCTTGGGGGGAACTGAACCCTGAGGACATGTCGTTTGTGCAGCGAGAGCGATTGTTACAAGGCCATGGAGGGGAGGGAGGAGGATAATAGAGAGGGTCCGAGGGAGAGGCGTTTGGAGTGAGTGAGTGGTGACAGGCTCATAGCGCAGCGCTGCGGAGGGAGGGAGGGAGGCAGGCAGGCAGGGAGTTTTTTTTTCTGGCTGCGTGCGTGTGTGCTTCTATCATTTTCGGTGCTGCTTTCGCTGGAAGGGAAGAGACAGGAAGAGGAGAGAGAGAGAGAGAGAGAGGGGCGAGGGGGGAGGGAGGCTGGGGCAGAGAGGGCGAGAGGGAGGGAAGGGAGGGGGTTGAGGGTTGCTGGTGCTTGTTCTGGCTTTGCGTGGCCGGGTGTGGGTTTTGCTGATTCATGACGGCCGCCTCCGCTCGCTTTCTTCCTCTCGTCACCAATCCACATTTCTTATCGAACCTCCTCCTTATCAAAGCAGAACACCCTTTCTCCCAATCCCCCTCCGCTTCTCTTCCTCTTCCTCCTCATCAACCCCATCCTTCCCTACCCCTCCCTTCCTTCCCTCCCTCCTTCCATCCCTCATTACTGCCCCACGGCGACCGGAAGCCCTTTCTCCATCCTTCCCCCATCCTTTCGCCATCCTCTCCTTTTCCTTCTCATCGCCCGTCCTCGCTCGCCCCTTTCCCCACCCCCTGTCCTGTCCCCTCCCCGCCCCTCCCATCCCCACCCTTCCTCCCCTGCGTCTTGCTGCTGCTTCTCGTCTCTTTCCCTCGCTGCTGCCGCTGCTGCTTTCTCTTCTCGTCACTTCGTTTGGAGTGCTGTAGTAGTAGTAGTAATAGTGGTTCTGGTCAATCCTCGGCTTCTTCTTCTTCTTCCTTTGCTTTCATCCGGTAGTTTGTCAATCTTGTACGCTGCTGCCGCTTCTGTTCCTGCATTCGTGTAGTTTGCCTATCTGCATCTGCTGCTGCCTCCGTGCACGGGCAGATAGCGAGATAGAGAGGCGGAGGGTTAGAGAGAGAGAGAGAGAGGAGAGGGATATAGGATAGGCGAAGAGAGAGAGAGAGACGACAGAGACGGGTGGGGAGGAGGGGATAAAGGGAGGAAGTTTTGAAGCGAGAGCGAGAGAGCGCACCAGCGTGCACTTCGAAGTGAACAGAAGGGAAGAAGGCGGTGAGGAAGAGGAAGAAGAAGCGAGATAGACGACGGTAGGTAGCCGGGTTGGGGATTTATTGGAACGTCGAACAGGGGCCGAATCTGGCCAACTTTGCAGTTGAGATCGAGAGGGCGGGGCCCGACTGTTCTCTCCCTCGCCCTGGGCTCGACTTAGGGTCTTGGACTGGCTGCTGTTCTGGGAAGGTTGAAGGTGGTGGATTCGATCGAGCAGGTACTGTCGAGGAGGAGAAGGCGAGAGGCTTGCGAACAAGTATTCCAGGCAACGAGCAGCTAGGATGGTCGGAGGAGGAATCAAGAAGGACGATGGATTGGCGGCGATAAGTAGTAAAAACATTTTTTCTGCACTCGAGAAAAAACGCCGCAAATCGAACAAGAAGAAGTCTGACAAGGAGAAGGATTCCAGCAAGAGCAAGGACGCCAAGGGGGAAAAGAAGGAGGAGGAGCCTGAGCAATTCTGGGCTCCGAGTCAGGTCACCGTTAAATCTTGGGCTGATTGCGACGACGATGACGATTACTACGCCACAACTGCTCCACCACCCGCTCCTTGGGCCCCCGATCAGGCTTCAGAAGCTGCATCGGCTGTTAAGGACGGTGGCTTGAGCCAGGGCGAGGTAACTACCTGTTTTCTAGCCTCTTAGACGCACTCTTCTCCCGTTTCTCGTGTTCGTGCTCAGATCTCGTATGCAAACCTAACTCGAAGCATATGGAACAACTCCACGATCTCTGGTGCTGCGTGGACTCTATGTGACGGGCGCTTGCCCATGAGGCTGTGAGGTCGCGGTAGAGACATACATACAGTATGGGTCCTTGCTGTGACCTAGGCACACGGCAGGGACACAACGTAGCTTTCGACAGACCTCACTTCACCCCATGGAGTCGGCTTTCAATCGTGCTGTCGTTGCGCACACATATGGCCCGTCGGTTCCTCAGAGTTACACTCCATATCATGACGATGGCTCCACGCTGCCCAGTGTCCCGTGGCTTACCCGTTTTCTGTGGAGGCGAATCCTTCAAAACTCAGGAAGAAGGCCCATAATGGTCTGCCGTAGTTAGGGTTCCTCGAGAAAGCTGCTGTGCAACATTCATGTTTGCTGGCTGCAAGCTCTGTTATTTTTGTTGGCTTTTCAAATCTAGGTTTGATCTTTCATTGCTTGTTCGGGGACATTCAATGAGCACAAGTTGGTACGCAAGCCCGAGGTCAACGTAGGGAATGGGGTTATCTTCATGGTGTTGCCTTCATGATTTGGATCATCTGACGCGTGAATACCAGATCTATCTCTCTGAAACGACCAGCCTGTGCGGTATTGATGGCATTCTGGTCGGTCGGAGAGATGTGGTGTGGAGTCGACTGGCCCCTCGCAGTGTTTGCGGTCAGCCTGGTGACCCTGTCCATGTCTGTCGGTGGAAAGCTAAGAACCTTCGTATACAGGCTGCCTTAAAGGATGAATTGCCAATTTTGTGCACAACCAGGCGATGGTACCATTTTGGCGTGATTCCTTCCGCCGTGATCGTCAATAGAAAATGATGTTCCGTGGTGGATACCATTTATTTGTAGATCCTTTACGAGGCTCTCTTTCGCGAGCAACATCTGTACAGATTGACCATGTCCTTGGAAGGAAGTCTGTATCAAACTTTCTTAGGGTATTAGGGTTCCGTGGTTCACAAGCATAGTGATGTTCTCAAATCCAGGACCTACGTTCTGGTCGTTCCGTGCATCTTATGTTGCGAGGGTTTAGTTATGTTTGTCAGCGTCGAGGTCTGTTATTTATGTCCATCAAGAGTTCTTTCGGTTATCCTGTCCTACAACCAGCCATGAAAGCTTATGCTTGAATTACGTTAGAGTCTGCTCTGTAAGTTGCGATAGGCGTCTGTCATCTGGAAACTTAAACATCATGCCACATTTTATAGTATGTAAGAATTATCGCTTGCCAATGTGTTGTGTAATTCGGAATATACTACTGTGTCATGTCACAGTTTAATCAGCCCCATATTTCGTCTCTCATATCTGCAACGGTTATTCTAAATGTCTCGTTTGGTCGCCTCTCTTATTTTTTGCCTTCTTATTTTTATTTCAGGAATCTGAGGGTGAAGACGAAGGAGAGGAGGAAATAGAGGATGACGCAGATGAGGAGCAACATGAGAATGATTCCACCGGAGGAAACAACAATGAGGCTCCCCCCGCGCGATCAGCTCTTCCACCTCTTATTGTGTCTCGTGAGCCGGAACGGCAATTGTCTAAGAAAGAGTTGAAGAAGAAGGAGCTAGCAGAGCTTGATGCAGTGTTACTTGAGCTTGGCCTCACTCCTAAGGAGGAAAATGGTCGTGAATCTAACCTGCGCCTGTGTTTCATTTATCATTTACCTCGATTGGACGGAGGCTTTGTGCAATTAAGCAATATATCAATCAATCAATCAGTTCAGTTCAGTAATGAGACTCATTTAGTTTCCGAGTGAATGAACGAGTGAAGCGGAATAAATTCGTTGTTCTGAACTTGCACAGTTATCATCCCTTTATGCTTCTTGAGAACATTGTTGATGTGTATATGTATCAATTTCATCTTCATGAATTCTTCAGAAGCTATTCAGTTGAACTTTCTAGTTTGAATATTAATCTCATTTGTCCATGAGCAGAAAGTTTCTCCTAGTCTATTTCATAGGTTCCTGTTTTGGACAAATCTGCAGTTTTCAGTTTGGTGCTTGTTAGGTGACATTTCGTATTTTCTGTTGAGGGATTCACGAAATTACGAAGGAGAGAAACGAACAATTCAATGTGATGAGTTCATTCTTACGCTGCATATCATCTATCCTTGACGTTCACCACTGCAACAGGAGTGGTTCTTGTTTGCCTTTGCCCCGTTTTTTTGGAGAAACAAAGTGAGCTCACCGTCTGCAAAGTAGTATTGCGGAGATTTCAACGTAGAGACCTACTGTAAGCTAACTCGGCTGCTCGTTTACTTTGTGCAGGCACCCCCCTACCTATCGTCGATGAGGTCGAGAAGAAGGTTGAGAATGTTGGAGAACAAATAGAGGAAGGTGAATCGAGAAGTGGTGTTCCAACTCTTACAGAAAGCAAGAGCACGAAAAGGAGAAAAGCGAAGAAGGAGAAATCGTTTAAAGAGGGCAAGGATGGGGACGTTCCTCCCACACCAGATGCAGATTCAGTTAGGACAGTGGAGGAGACCACTGCAGAAGAAGGGGACACAAATGCCCCCCCTGCAGACCCTAAGGCTGAAGTCTTGAAGAAGCTCGCCTCGCTCAAGAAGAAGAAGTCTATGAAGGAAAGTGACGCCGCTAAGGCAGCTGTCACTGAAGCAGCTGCAAGGGCCGCTAAATTATCAGCTGCCAAGAAGAAAGAGAAAAATCACTACAATCAACAGCCTGTCAGGTAAATCTTTGTAGTATATGTTATTTATTGGACGGAAGTTGAAGAGCGGGAGCCGTTTGAGAGTTCAGGGTGGTCTTTTCGCAGTATTTGTGAATTTAATGTAGAGGTTAACTGAGGCTGCAGATTTGCAGTTAGGGTTCTTCTCTGCCCTAGATTCTATTTCTATTGAGATTATCGAATGTTCATGGGTGCAAATACCCACCATAATAGAGTGTTCACTGCTGGAGCCCAATAAAATCCCGGATCTTGGATCCTTAGGAGCAATCACTGTTCTTGCAAGTGCTCGTTGTCCTTGTAAATTTGTATGGGTCTGGCCAAGCTGATTCTAAAATCTAGGGTTGTATCGAGCGGGAAGCTTGGGAGCCGGTGGGTCACATGGTTTGGGTGGGTTTTACTTTCTGTTAGCACCTAGTTCATTCTTTGAAGCTCTGCAGTGGAGCAACTACCTCCTTAAATTCGGAGCAGTCTAGTGATTTCCGACCATCCAGAGTGATATTTTTGATAAACGAAGCTGAGGAGCTCTTAATGCTCATGTAGTTACTCAATTTCTCAAGTAAAGTGGTTGGACCTTGTTTGTGAGACGATTGCCTTGTAGCAATCGATTTCTTCTAATTCCTGAGTAACTTAGCAAACATCCTACAGAAACAAACGCGAGGTCGGTAGACTAGTCACTTCGACGTTTTGTTGTCGATATACGCAAGGGAAACGGAAAAAGTTTGCATTGCAAGTCTCTTTTGCGAGGGTGTGATTGGTGTTGGATCGACTTGGTTGTAAAAATTACGTTTCATATTTCCGGTATTTGTTTATTAAATATATAGCCCGTTTGCCCTTAATCCGATTCCAGGAGATGAAAAAGTTATTCATCATTGTCCTTAAGTGTGGAATTGCAGTAGTCTTGCCTATGTCAGACTTTTCCAATCATTTCGTGTTGTTTCAACAATTCTATCAGTTTGTTGTCTCAAGATTGGTCTTCAGTACTCTAATTACAACACAAACAGGCGCTTCTAGCTTTTTTTCGAAGAAGGTAACTTGCACTTAATGGAATAGTGAGCTGATCTAACCGATCGACTTAGGAGGTGTAATCTGAAGAAACATCAGACATGGTAACAAAATACGGATGAATTGTCATCGGAGAGAACATCAGGCTTAATTGCTGTACAGATTTTTATGTGTAGCTCTTAGCGTCCCATCATATCGAAGACAGAGGAAAGCCTTAGAAGTGGAGGGTCTAAATCTGGTGGTCTAAATCTTCAGACAAAGTTTTTTTAGCTACACAAGTCATAAGATGAAAACTAAGAGCATTTGACTAGTTTCAACGCGTGTAATAGCTGTGAAGGACCAAGTAGACGCCGCATGGCGAAATAACATCAGCGAAGTTGGATCCCCCTACCGTGAAGGGAATGTCCGATCATCACACTATGACATTCGACGTCCCTATCACAAGAGTATTTCCCAGATTCCACTTCGTGTGGGACCTGTCACAACATCTAGAGGGATGCGGCGACCACGATATTCCTCTAAGTAACAACATATTCCATGCATCAGCTTAATATGAAGCATATGAGATGCAAACATAAATCGTTTGAGGCACGAGAAAATCTTGAATGATCGGAGCTCTGTACTGAGCCAAGCGAGAATGCGATCAGCGAGCAATTTATGTTAGCCATAGAGGTTTCCTCTCTGACACTCGACAGGGGTAAACAATAGAGAGGAAATTATATTTCGTCACATCATCGGGATGGATGCCGCGACCACGATATTCCTCTAAGTAACGACGGATTCCATGCATCAGCTTACCATGAAGCAAAAGAGAGGAAATTACATTCCGTAACCGGGACTCGTCATATCATCGGGATGGATGCCGTGACCACGATATTCCTCTAAGTAACAACGGATTCCATGCATCAGCTTACCATGAAGCATATGAGATGCAAACACAAAAGGCTATTGGCACGAGAAAACCTTGAATGATGGGAACTCTGTACTGAGCCAAGCGAGAATGCAATCAGCGAACAATTCACGTTAGCCATGGAAATTTCCTCTCTGACAGTCGACAGGGATGAGCAAAAAGACAATAGTTAATTCCGTAACCGGGACTCGAACCCGGGTCGCCTGGGTGAAAGCCAGGTATCCTAACCATCTAGACTATTACGGATGTGACATAGCCACAAACATAAAGAATTATAATTAATGACAGTTTTTGAATGCTCATCTTTACAGTTGATCTCATACGATCGGTCCATCGTCTTTACATGACGGGTCACGACATGGTCATGTCATGTTCGCAATCTACGGCTCCGCCGGTGCGACCGGATGCAAGGCACGGAAGTTCTTGTAGTCGTGGCTAGTAATGAGAGTGAGGTCATCCTAGTCAAGGTCCCACCCCCGGCAAAGCGGGTGGGAATAGCCGCTATTCCCACCCGCTTTGCCGGCTTCGATGGGCTTTTCAAATAGCCCATCGGTGGTACTCACTCCCATCACATCGCAACCATGGACACCTTAAAAGGTCAATATGTCTTCATCCATGTCATTCCTCTCAAATAGATTGCACGAGATACTGCTATGTACATGGATGTATAGACTTAAAGAGTGTACACGAAGAAAATAAAAGAATTGATATCCTATAATACTTTACTCCCAAACCAGGCTCTATATTTCCATAAAATTTTAGTCTAAGGAGATTGTGACTTTTTCAATTTCACCTAATAGAAAATTATACTTGATCAAATTATATAGAGTTATATTGCAACAGAATGTTCATATATCTTATCAGTTGAGATATCTATGATACGTCATGTTTTGACTTCGTAAAATTTCATATAGTAATAAATATAATTTATATAATCATACTGATATGTAAACAAAGTTATAATAATACAACTTCCACAACATATCTGTTTTGACGCAAAATGAATTTTATTTCATTCCAAATAGCTTATGAAACTAGTTAGATTCAATAATTTTTATGTTAAACCATATTTAATTTTTATAAATTTTTTTGTACTTAATTTTCATTATTGAAAATTATGATATCATATTTTCTAAAAATTGAGTATTTTTTTATTTTATATAAAAGAAAAAATATTTCAAATTCAAGTTGAATTTAAAGTTGTTGATTTTGAAACATGAGATATTGAATAGAAATTTTTTATATATTTGATAAAAAAATTAAGATTTACGTATTAAAATAAATATTAAAAATAAAATAAATATCCGATATTGAGCAATCAAAATTATTTAATTTTATTCCAAGATTATCATCAAAAATTTATTTTAAAAGAAGAATATTTTTTTTATATGCCGATTACTAATTTATTATTTATACTGTGAAAATTTAGATTTAAAATTTAAAAAATTACCAATGATTTATTTTGTACTCACATATCTCTTTACAAATATAATTGAAAATAGAAATTTTTTTATGACTTTACTGTTCAAATTTTTTGAAAAGTTAGAGTATAACAAAATAATCTTATGTGTCAAATTTGATGTTAAATTGCATTGAAAAGTATTTTATCTAACCAAATTCAAATATAAAACATTTTATTTTATCAATATCTACAAATGTAATTTTTTAATAAAATTGTATCTCATTTAAAAAATTATTTTTAATGAATTTTGTTGAGTAATTTCCAACAAACTATGATTTTTTTTGAATTTCAATAATGATTGATTTTTACATTGTATTAATAGCTAAAATAACCAAAAAATATTAACAAAAGTATGTAAGAAGAATATACAGAGTTAAACTATCCAATAGTGACATACATTGGTGCTAGAACTTTACTTCATTCACAAGAAGGGCCACTGACAAGTATCATTCACGAGAAGAAAATGCCTAACCTTCATTATAAATTTTCAATAGTAACATACAATGGTGTTAGGGTTGGATGTCACTGTTGGTAGTTGAGTAAATTTGAGTATAATATCTCAATAGTAACATGCATTGGTGTTAGGGTTGGATGTCACTATTGCAAGGTGTCACTTATAGAAAAAAGGTGTCATTTATCTTACATTACATTTGTCCTATGACATTTTATAAAGGTGTTGTTTGGTTTCAAAATTGCAAATAAATGCAATTTTGTATTGTTCATGACGATTAATGTGGGCGCTATAGTTGCGTTTGAATTGGACCAATACACAAAAATCTGAATGAAACAATTGATATAATATATGTAGCGAAGTATCTTCTTGAAATGGGAAAGAGTGAGCTATTGAGATAGACTTGTAAATAAACGTATGTCACATTCTTCTGTCTCACATCTATGTATTGTAATCACTATAGGAATTTCACCTCCGAAATTACTCTTGAAATTGTCATTATTGCATAATATCATGTCACACTTTGCAATAGTGACCTAATTTCTTATTTAGCAAATATACAAGTTACAAACTAATGGTTTTAGTATTTTAGGTCACTAATGAAGGTATGACTGTCATATGAAGTGACACTATTGGGTTTTAAAGTTTAAAATTTAAATCACTATATTGTTTAGTACTAATACAATTGATTAAAACCATTGTTGAACCAAATTTTTTAATTTTTTTAAATTTACTGGATTTATTTTCGATAGAAATTGGGGTCTTTTTTCCTGTCCCTAGTCTAATATAATTGATTAAAAACATTATTGAAATCAAGTTTAATTAACCCAAAATTATGTTCATTAAATATAGGGATTTTTACACCCCTGGTCCAAAACGGTGAGCAATTCTTCACATGTCGGACAAAATAATAATAAGTCCTGAACGAAGAAACAAGCAAACGTGACTGCTGTGTGTGTATATGTTTCGGATATCCAGTTCAATATGAAGCAAATTCAGTTGAAGCTCAGCCTTGTGTTTAGGGCAAGACCAGACTCATCATCGTGGTCGTTGACATTAGTCACAAATTGAGATCGAGAGTTTAACCGTGTACCGAAATTGTACGTCACAAAATGATTAAATCTCCAATCGGGAGTGTGACACTGGTATTCGAAAGAAATCTAGCGACTAGACTCAAGGGAGGTTCGGAGAATGTACAAGGAAGTACTTCAGAGGACCTGGGAAATGCAGGGGGAGATTCGAGATCCTGGAGTGAGATGTAGAGTCCAGTTGGAGACCATCAACATGATGGAAGAGACGGCAGCGGGTTAGAATTGACCCGAGAGCTCTAGAATTTTAGTTCCCAATTATTTCAACGGCCGTCCAGCTATTAAATCCATAGAGTTCGGATTTAGTGGCTGACCATGCCTGCAACGAACTCTCCTTCCGCCTCAAGCCTCAAGCGTTCGAGTTATTGTTCTTGTGGAGCATCTACAATGCTGGAACCCCTGATTTCATTTCTTCAGATCAGGCTCTTTTGCTAAGCTGGGAACCGATGGACATCTTCTTCCATGATACTTTTCTGAATCCTTTGTTACAACTTTACATGGATGTTCAACTTCTTGCGGTCCATTTACGAGCACTCTGCAAGGAGCCATCACTGGCGTCGTCTGTGCTTGGTCGTACTCATTTGAAAGATCTTCAAGTCCAATTCCGTACCTCCAAAGCATGAACTCTTGCAAGTGATCGAAGAAGAGATAACACTCGAACACTGTCAGACAATCTTGCCAACTTCGAGCCCAAGGCTTCAAGGATCTCTAAAAGAATCTTTTCTGTCTTAAAATCTTCCCATCTAAGATCTATTTTCTATTTCTTGCAAAAGAAATGGGATTTCGTCAAAGTTTGCAGGTGCATCGTTGAAGTTTCCCTCAAAATCCCGAATGAAGGTGATTGATTGATTGTTCAACCTCTGGAACGACTTTTCCATCATCAAGCGAACAATTTCAATTTTGCATCGTCGTGAAAATGCGAAGGAGGAGTTTCGAAATCTTCTCCCTCAAGGTTCCATGAGAACTTTAGCATAGCCCTGCGCGAGGATGACACGCACAAATAAAAAATAAACATAAAATCATGGCCTACGATCAATTGAAACCAGACTGCTTAGGCCAGACTTTGGCAGCTGTCAAGCTGCCAAAAGGTAGAACAAAACTAGTGAGCATGATGATCACATTATCCATGTACGTATCTTCGCAAGGTATTTTTGATATATACTAAACTGATTTAACTAATTATAATTAAGCTAGCTGGAGTTATCCAACACGTGTGTTAAATCCCAATTATCAATCAGTTACATTAATGAAAATTAAATAAATAAGCTTATGAAATTTTTTATGTTCAGACAAAATTGAATAGCCAATGCTTAATTTGACATATTATCTAAATCAAATGTTCTAATAAATATATTGAATTTTTTAATTCAAAATTTTTGGCACACAAGAAATTTTTATCAGAATTTTCTTGAAATTGTTTTGAAATATCAAAAAAATTTCAAGAGCTCGTTAAATACATGGATATTCTCTATGAATATCCATGTATTTACTGCTCGCTAGCAGCGATGCTCACTTTATTCATGTACTTATTTTCGCGAGATATTTTTGAAGACAGCGCGGAATGCATCACTGCCAAAATCTGGCGAAATGCCTCGGCTAGATATAATAGAAAAACTTTAATTAATTAATTAATTGATCATGTTTATTTTTCAAAAAAGAAAAAAGAATTTTTTTTCTTAGTTTAAAAAATCATATAGAACAATCTATAAACATTACCTATTGTGCATCGAAATTCACTATTCCATTTTTCTTTAATCTTATCTTACTCAATATATCAAATCCTTTCAATAGATTTTTTTAGAAAAAAAAATGCATTCTAACGCTTGAAGTATTGATGCTTTTTAAAGTTTGTGCATTTGAACGCGTGATCTGCTCATAAATTTCTAGATCCGAGTGGTTGTGAAGAGCAAAGGCAAAAGCCAAATCTATGGAGGTGTCGAGCAACTGCTCGACACCTCAGTTACTTCTTGTTTAGGTGCAGCTTTGTACCCTGCTCCAGGATTGTCTTCACTGTTGTTCAATGGTTTTGAAAGCCTTCGCGGATTCCAGATTTCAATCTGTTCCATATCACTTTCGGGTTGAACGAAGACTTCACTTGTGTGACAAAAATGCGATTTGCATCAGGAATATGTTCCATTCGCTCCTTGTTCTATGGACAATCTCTTACATCTTTGTGGAATTGATATCTTTCATGTGATCGAAAGGGAATTGGAAACTGTGAGATTGAAATAGCAAATTTTACACTTTTACAATTTCACTCTTGCCAATACATTGTAATAGAATGGATTTATTTCAACTAGTGCAAAAGCTGCTTCAAATTTTGTAACATGTATCCGAATGTGGAACCGGAGTAAAGCACAAATTCTCAATATTTTTGGTGAATTGTCTCTTGTTTTGCCTGACTCATTGTTTTTGACATCGAAGTTATAACCAAGAAAAAATACACTTGCTAGTCTTTGGATCGAGCTTAGTCTTCGATTCCTTAGGAACATGCATATAGGTATCACATCCAAACACTCTAAGATAAGAGTAATTAATATTCTGTTTATGCCGCATTTCAACGAAGTCTTGTAACTTGTTGCAATACAAGGAGACATGTTCACCAAATAAGCCGCAGTATTGATGGCTTCATACCAAAAAATTTGTGATTAACCAGTATGGCTCAACATACTAATGATCTACCTAATAGCGTACAATTGACATATCGTTTTGCTGTGGAGTATAAACATTGGTGAAAGGCGGTTAACACCCTCGTTTTTACAACACGTGTCAAAATCCTGGGACACGTACTTCCCGCCGTTGTGTGAACGCAAAATCTTCACCTTCACTCATATCTAAGTCTCAACATGTGCTTTCCACTTCTTAAAAGTGACAAAAACATCAAACTTGTGTGGAAAAAAATAGATCCACACATACCTTAAGTAGTCATCAATGAATGTAACATAGTACTCATTTCCAGAATGTGAGGCAATAGGAAAAGTAACACATCACACATCACATCTATACACATCAAAATGAACATACTCAAGAACTGTTTTGAAACTATGAACGCCAGTTCCAAAAACACGTCGCGTGTGCTTTCCAAATACACCATAACCTTGATAATATCACACCCTCCGTTTCACCATAAAGTGTGTTATAAATAAGGTGTGACATTTTTGATAATGTCACATTTTGAAGATTTGTGCATAATGTGATATTATCAAAAAAAAGTTAAAAAATCAAAATAAAACTACAATGTAAAAAAGAAAATAACATATGAAAGACTTCAAAGTTTTTAGATGTAAAATATAATTCAAAACTGTGAATGACAACAAAAACACATTATAATGTGTCATTGAGATCCGGTAGAAACCTCTCACTTAAAACAAAGAAGTTTCTAATATCATATTGTTTTAGTGATGTTAAATGTCCAACACCAATTCTAATGAGTTTGTCATGGATTTTTTCCATTCCTAACAACTCTTGAGTGTTAAAAAATCCGACAACCTTGGCTAGCCATAAAATTCAAAGATCCTTAGCATATTTCTGTGCCTCGCTTAGCTTCACTACTTTATACTCATCATCATTGCTATCAACAATCATTGAATCTTCTTCCATGGAATCAAATAACTCTTTGCCATCTTGCACTAATTGCACAAGCTCCTCATTAGAATATTCCACCTCAAAATCATCTTCATCTTCCATGTTTATGTACTCCAAAGGACTAAGCTTTTCTATAGGCTTGACTTCAACATCCGAACCCAAATTCAATGTAGCGATGAGATTGCCTAACTCCAAAGCCGCTTCCTCTATTTTGGACTTCATACATTCATTAGAATTGTTGATATCTGCATTCCACTCTACAGGCAATATGGCGGACTTTCTCCAACAATTTTTGATGGTTGATCATCTAATTCATGCCATGCCATCTGTGGTGCCTAGTTTTTTTTGTTTTTCTTTAAAAATCAACAAAACTAAAAGATATTTGTGTAGAAAGTAGCCGTATGAGTTAGAATGAGTAGCTTTTGAGGAGTTATGATAGGATTAGTTAGTATTCGCCTACGGCCGAAGATCTTCGGATCTTCGGCGCAGCCTTTTCTGGACAGTGCAAGAGCTGCGTCTTCAGCGAAGACATAGGAATCAATTTGAAATCGCGCAACGGGCCGGACGACGTTCGCACGCGTCGAGAATTCTACTGGGCGCGAGAGGAGGTAATGTGAGGGCTTCAAGGGTAAGGGCATTACGAGGAGCCTTGACGCCGACATTGCGATATCAAGCAAGCACGAGCGAGAGTGAGAGAGAGCGAAATCGACCGACCTTGCTAGCAGCGAAGACTCGAATTGGGAACATGGCGCACAAGAAGAGTGATAAGGTGCAAAAATTGGTTCCTTTGAAGGTGTCATACGAGGAATTACAACCCTTTAAGCACGAGCTGAGCGAATTGCGGCTCGATTTCCTTTTGTGCAATTGGAATTGCATCTCGTAGAGAATCTGTAAGAAGATAATGGATAAAAACGAGACCGAGGGCGAGGATCTTCGAGGTAATTCCATGCTGTGGACAATTGAACATTGGGCGAAGGTGATGGGACCATGCGCAGGTAGCGACGGAAATCTCTTGTTTGAAAAGAGTAGCGTGAGACTTACGCGCACTGAAGAATTCTCTTACGAGTCACTCTTCAGTTTCGGGAGGCAGGGGACGAACGGATGGAAGACAGCTGATTACTTGGATCCGAAGAGACGGGCGATTGCATTGAGAATAATGCACATCTTGAGACCTGCGCGCACGACGTATGTGACGGCCTGACAAGTAGGGTTCTTCAATCAAATCCTGAAGGGATAGAGAGTACATTGAGCAAGAATCTTTTACGATATTGTCTTGGTGAATGCGAGCTCCCGGTGGACAGTACCATTGATCAATCATCTCACTCCATTCCTTGTGAATTTCTATTGAGGCATGGGTTTGCTTACAAGGGAGGAGGAGAAACGATTTCCGAGGGAGCGGGAGATCTTGACAGTTGAGTCCAGTGAAGGTACCGAAGACGACAACCGACGACCCTCAATCCCACCTTAGATGATGGCTTGAAGACCTGTTCAAGTGGATGTTATGCCGAGACGGGAGAGGCCAGAACGGCATTTGGCAAAGAGAAGGAAAGTGGTGAGTGATGACGAGGTAGATTTGGCGCTGGAAGTCAAAAGATTTGAAACGGAGGTAGAAGTAATCAGGCAGTCGAGAACTCGCGCGAGACCAAAGAAGAGGGCGAATCGAGGATTTGTGGCAACTGAAGTATTGGATAGCAGCGTGGAAAAGACAGTTGCTCCGATTGTGAGTACACCCGAAGTCACAATTGGCGAGTCGACACAGCCTGTGGAGATTGAAGGACCTTCGAGGGTATTAATCGAAGTTCGGGCAGGGGCACCGGCGGAACCTTTGAAGGAGGCAACGGAGATGGTAAGTCCAAATTCTCTATCTTCGGAGCGAACACGGTCTGCGGGGAGTGAAAAAATACCTCAACCAAAGACAAGCGAGGAACTGGTGGAGGAGCTTACACTGAGTGACGAAATACTTGAGCAGGTTGTTGCGCAGGTCGGAGGGACGATGGTAGATGCCGCGGACATTACATTGCCGTCATCTCCTGCGGAAGATGTGAGATCCGAAGAAGAGAAGAAGACTTCGGAGGAGGAATTGAAGGGGGTAGAGATCACATTTCCCGACTTCTTACAGGACATTGTAGTTCCACTACTGAAATACTTGGATAGGAAGAAAGAGAAGTATGCTGTGTCCAAGGAGGTAGGATTTTATGTAGAGATGGTGAGAAATAGAATGCAACTCAAGAGAGCAGTAGCGGTGAAGAGGGAGTGGAATTCCGTGACTGAATTGGAACGGGAGCGAGCTGCAAGCTTGTCAACCGAGTGCGCGGCAGCAAAGGCGGCATTGAAGGAGCGAGAAGCCCAGCTTCGGGAGAAGAAGATTGAGTGCGAAGTACCGCAATTGAACTTGACAAAGGAATCCGGACGATGTGTAGAGTTAGAAGAGACATGTGGCGGACTTCGTGTCTCTAATTAAATTGCACAGAAGATGACAGTGGATTTGCTCGCGAGGTTGAAGAAATCCAAGGAAGCGTACGATGAGGCAGTCAAACAATCGGAGCGATTGATCGTAATTGCGGAAAGACGAGAGAAGAATC